GAACTAGCTGGAACAATACTCAAGGACTTCTAATTCTCCATCCAGAACTATGAAGAAGAAATAGCTGTTGTTTACTGTAGCCTATGGCATGTGTTAATGGCAGCCAATTTGATTATAAGGCTACTTGTTGTTCAAACAATACCATATTCTGCCTCTGTATCTCTATGACATACTCCTTTCATTATGAGATAGTTTTGCTTGCTTCTTTTGGCTTGAATAACCTTATAGGTTTTTTACCTTAGTCCTAGAACCAGCCAGTCCTGAAGAGATCTCTGATTCTTTCTATTGAGGAATGGAACCAGAAGCAGAGGGTTGATGCTGGGCCTTGTGTTTCTGTGCATAGAGCCACCTGTATCTCCATGAGGCTAACCAGAGTTCCTACTGTAGTCTCCAATTATAAGCCATTTCAGAGCAGACTACCTCTATTCTATGACATCCCCCCACCACATACCCTATAGATAACCAGGCTTTAGATATGAACTATTGACTTGCTCTGTTCTGGTATAGTTGTACAACTGTGACAGAAAAGCTACTCTGTACTTCTGTGGGAAAAAACTTGAGTATATCATGTCATTTTTGTGTATATTTCTGCCTGGTTTTCATCCTAGAGCTCCTAAAACATTGGATGTTTCATCCATGTGCACATCATCTTGTGCAGGGTTCATGCCAGTCTTCATCCTTCTCTGTGGGAAGGATATGTGTGTGTGTGTGTGTGCCCATGTGTGTGAGCATGTTTGTGTGTGTGTGTGTGTGTGTGTGTGTGTGTGTGAGAGAGAGAACAGTGAAACTTTAGCTCCTGAGTGTCACAACTGTGGAAAAGTTCACTTCCTCCAGGCTTTCAGCATGGGTCATCTCATTTTGTCCACTTATTCCCTCTGAGAAGAAAGTGAATTATTTAAAAACTATCGTAATGTTCGGGTCTAGTATGCTTTGACATTCACTGAGGTCCAACATTTATTTTCCTTGTTTAGCAAGTAAATAAGAATTACTTGCAATTAGCAGCTTAATTGTTTGTATATCAGCAAGGGAACATTCATGAAAAATTAAAATTGAAACAGTTTGTCTTTATTTCTCAATTAGATCAAGCCTCCTTCTCATTTTTCTCTCCCTTTGCCTTTACTCTCTGTGAAATCACCCTTCGATGTCAGACGTGGTATGTATTTGCTTGCATGAGTGCATATGTGTGTGGTGTGGTGTGGTGTGTAGGGTGTGGGCATATATATGGTGTGTTATATGTGTGGTGTTTTGTGTTTGCAATGTGTGTGGTGTAGTGTGGCATGGGATGTGTGGATATATACATATATATATACATAGTGTGGTGTGTGTGATGTGGTATAGTGTGGTGTGTGTATGTGTGTGTGTGTGGTATGGGGTGGGGTGAGTATGATGTATAGTGTGTGTGTGTGTGTGTGTGTGTGTCTGTGTGTGTGTGGTGTCTGTGGTTCAGGAGACTGGTATCCCAGTCTCCCTTCAGAGGCAGCTGGCTTTGAGTTATGTTTATGTGTTTACTTGCATATTTCAGAACTATACATGTAGCTCCTCGACATGTATCCAACTCTACACTACCTTTTGGTTTACTTGTACTTTTTTATTGCATATAAAGTACAATGACTACAGTTTTTGCACACTTTACAAAAATCTTTATCAGAGTTTTACAGAGATTTAGTCACTGGCTCCAACTGACCCCAGCTGACCTGGAAGCACTCAGTGTTGGCAACACAAGCTTTGTCTGTAGGGTGTTTCCAAGCTGTTCTCTGCTTTCATCATTGCTACTGTAACACGTGCACATATGTCTCTCAGAGCCAGCGCTCAGAAGAAAGTGGACTTGAGATTAAAATTGGCATTAGCTTATGCTGTAAAAGCTGATTTCGTGGGGGACTAGAGGGAAGTAAGGTTAGCTCTTACACTCTTCTCAAAGGCTAGAGTCAAACAGACTGTTGCACCGTGGGATAGCAAGTCTTAAGTGATGTTGGGGTGCATTATCAACTTGGCTCTGAGGGCCAAGGGAGTTCAGACTCAATGTGAGAAACATTTTCATAAAGTTGTATCATTGCAGCTCCACACTTTGCAGCTCCTTTGTCTTTGAAAAGTCCATCTTAAATTAGGAGTGGTAGTGTGTGTGTGTGTGTGTGTGTGTGTGTGTGTGTGTGTATGCATGTGTATGTATGAATGTGTTGTGTATGTGCTGTTTAACTTCTACAAAAGCATTGCTAGAAATTGAAGGTTATTCAACTCACAAGAAATCAAATTAAATTACAGTTATTCAACTCACAAGACAATGAATTATTTTATAGTTATTGTCTAAACAAAAGCCACACACATATTTGCCATCTGACATATTTGCATGTAGTGATTAAGTATTATTTTAGCCATATTTCCCAAAGGCTGATTTCTTTTTGAAGATGAAAAATACATGAATAGCCTTTTCCACAGAACTCACATTTGTGTGCTGGGGATACCATAAAAAATACAGCTGCCTGGGTGGTTTAGCAATCAGAAGTCACTGTCCTGGATTTGACTGTCGTGTCTGCCAGCCTGGTTTCCTGGATCCTTTGCCCGATACATGTTCACGTGGTTGGCTCTTCATCACATTCCTTGTGGCTTTTCTTCTGTTTTGTCTCACTAGGCAGCCCAGGCTGGCCCAGAGCTCTCAGTGTAGCCAAGGCTGCTCTTGAAATCCTGATCTTCCCATTTCAGTTTCCTGAGTGCCAGGGTTGCAGGTCTGAGCCACCGCACCCTGCCTTCCTTCCGTATCTGTGCACCTTACTCATCTCTTTGTAGGCCAAAGAGAGCTAACCTCAAGGACAGTTCACTTGAACAGACCATCTCTCAACTTCCTGGCTTGAATCGTTTAACTCCCACCCATGATCTCTATGCTGGCAAATGCATTTGGCTCCAGCTAAGGCTGTGGATCACAGTGTTGTCCAGGCTCACTAAAGCTTTATAGCCTCATGGCTGGCATGGGGGAGGGGCAGTGAAGGTAGCTACTCATCACCCAGCCTGCGGGCCAAGTGGTGCCTGTGTGACCATGTTCACAGGGATTTTAAGAGCTGGAAGAGAGTGAACACCTTGCAAGTCTTTTCATGCATCACTTTTGCCAAAGTCAAGCATGTGGCCAAGCTCAGGCACCAGAGGTGGAGGCTCTCCCACTTCAGAGGGCAGGCCTGTGAGTGGCAACTTGTGGTGCCACTGAGGAAGACGAGAGACACCATGAGAAAAATAAAGCTGTGTTGCCCTTACACACATGCACCTCCGTGCCTCATATTTTGAATTCCTAGCTGAACTGCATGTTACAAGGTGCTAAATGGCATTGATAGAGCTACATCCCATCACACTAAATTAAATTAAAATGCCACATCTACAAACCCACTCAGATAAGTGCCACTTACAGGTTGTTGAAGTTGCATGGCACTGTCAGGAGAGGTACCCAAGTGGGTACTATCACTTCTCACAGCGTGTTTGAATGTGGTCCCCCTCCCATCCTACTTCATAACCAGATGGCTAGAAAGGGAAGAGGCCACATCCACACATTTTCCCATTGTAATCCTTCATCTGTACTCATCACAGAATCTCCATGACCTTCAACAATAAGCATTTATTGTTAGACACATAGGCCTCTGTGTCCACAGACTTCCGGCCCTAGTTTATGGGCTCTTTGGGAAAGGTCTTTACTGGGTTAGGGTTTTAGGGTTAGGGTCAGGCAGCCTGTGAGGGGAGAAGTGACTTGGGCCATCTTCTTCTGGTTCTATACATACATAGCTCCTTGAAGGACAGATGGAATGACTCTGTGACTCTTCAGCTGAGACCTGGGCCTGGCACAAGGCCACTTCCACAGCCACATTGTTCAAAGCTAGAAACACAGTTGAAACAGGAGGCCACCCTGGGTGCTGAACACAGCTGGTCAAGAACTACCGCACAGAAAGGGATGCTGGGACCCAGAGTTCCATCTGCTAGGGAGAAAGTGCCTCTGCCAGAAGAATATGACCCCAGGACATGTGGTGGCACCTGAGTGGTTTGTGGATGGTAGTACTTAAACTGTGTCCTAGTTAGGGTTACTATTGCTGCGATGAATATGCTCAACATACATTGCATCCCTTGCAAGTTGCTTTTGGCATGGTGTTTCATCGAAGCGAACTCATACCATCATTCTTGGTGGCAGGCACCTTCACTGGTTGAGCTATCTTATCAGCCCTCAAGTACTATTGTTTTTTAAACAATATTTTTATTAGTTCTTTGAGAGTGCCATGCAATGTATTTTGAGCATATTCATCCCCTCCCCCACCTCCTTCCATAACCACCTCTCCCACTTCCCATCCCTTCACATCCAGCTCTGAGATTTCTTCTTTCATTATTTATTTTTCTTTTCCCATACAGTCCAGATTGTGTTGCCCAGGTAGTCTTGGCAGTGGGGTCTGCTGTGGGGTGGTAGAGATCTAACAGGTGTAATACCATTAGAGAAAACTAGCTCTGTCTCTCCCAGCATCTATCAAAGGCTAGTACCTCCCCCAGAGAGTGGTGGGATTTTTGTGTCCACCTCCCCCTTCTATACTGGGATCCTGGCAGGTCTTGTGCATGCTGTCACAATAGGCATAAGTCCGTCAGTGCATCTGCCCTGTTGAGTCTGGAAACAACCGTTTCTTTGGTATTATCTATGGCATCTGGTTCTTACAACCAGCTTTCTGTTCCCTCTTCTGTTAAGATCCCTGTGCTTTGTGGGGAAGAGTATAATATGTTTTCTCATTTAGGGCCAGGTACCCCACCGTCTCTTATTATCTGTAAATTGGCTGTTAAGGGTCTTTGTGTTAATTGCTGTTTACTGCAAGGAGACACTTCTCTGAGAAGGGTTGAGAGATGTATAGGTATGGGACAAAGTCATTAGGAGTCATTTTAATGTCCGTTTACTTGCTTTTTAGATCCACACCACCAATGTGAAAATTGGATCTCTTCCAGTGCCCATTTATTTCCCGAGTATGCCATAACATCCTTCTTATGTATTTCAGCCCAGAGGTCCTGAAGAGTGAGCCGTATGGAGAGAAGGCTGATGTCTGGGCTGCAGGCTGCATCCTTTATCAGATGGCGACTCTGAGTCCTCCCTTCTGCAGCACCAACATGCTGTCCTTGGCTACTAAAGTAGGCCACCGGGAAGAAAAGGGCATCTCTAGCTAATGGCCACGCCCTGTTCTTTTTTTTTTTAATCAATAATGATTTTTTTTATTCTTTTTTTTAAATTTAGATAAGAAACAAGGTTGCTTCACAAGTCAGTTCCAGGTCCCTCTCCTTTTCCCTCCCCTCCTCCCGTGCCCTCCCCCATCCCCCCCCCCCCCCGTTATCCCCTCATTCCCCCAGGGAGGGTGAGGCCCTCCATGGGTGTGTGCATAGTCTGTCATTTCATATAGGGCAGGGCCTAGACCCTTCCCCAAGAGTTCAGGGTAAGAATGCACCTCACATTGTTCTATGGGAGTCCAAAGTCCGTGTGTATACTTGGGATGGGTACTGAGGCCTAGGTAATCTATTGAGCCTTGGGCAGCAGATCAGTGCCCTGTTCTTTACCCTTGTGACGAGCACTACTGTCAGTTAGAAGCATGCCTTGTTTGGTTTCCTACACAACCCAGTCTGTCTTCTCTCTCATCTAAATATCTATCACATTGCATGAATACTCCTCTTCCTTGTCTTCATTTATCATATAAAATTGTGAAATGAATTTCTGATTACTGTTTCTCTGTGGTGGAACCCAGGGCCTGACTCTTGCTAGAAAAGTGCTCTGCCATTGAGCTACATCCCCAGGTCCCACCTTAGGTCCACAGGCCACCATCTTTTATTATCCCATGTGTTACCTTATCATGAGCCTGAGTCAACTTTAGCTCAGCCTGGAGAATAGAACTGTCTAATTGGCATTGATTTTCATTTGTTGGGATGTTTCATTCCTGATTAAAATTTGTATGTGTAGTTATATTCATTTATTAGCAGCCCGCATTGTAGCTATGAATGACTGCTCACAGATAGCGTGGTTCTTTGACGCTGTTGCTGTTTTCTGTTTGTCTTGCAGATAGTGGAGGCAGTGTATGAGCCAGTGCCAGAAGGCATCTACTCTGAAAAAGTGACAGATACCATTAGCAGGTAAATAGTCTCACAATTTACAACATATAGCTGCCACCATAAAATCCCTATGCCTTCATATTCACTACCTATGGGTAAATGCTCATAAAAGGCCCCCCAGGTAATCCAACCCTAGTAAGTTTTCTAAGCATTGTTAGTAATAGTGGCTCTTTGGAAACCACTGGGACATTCAAGAGCAACTTGAGAGAAATGTACAGCTATTTGGCCTATAAATAAGGCCTATCTATAAGACCTTTTGTCAACATGAAAAATGTGTATAATGTGAAACTGAGTAAGGCAAATAGTATGAAAATCTATTTTTCTGAAACAAATAAAATATGCACAAATATGGAAAAAAGAGTAACATAGATGCCAAAAGGACTGTGTTCAATGATCAAATTATAGGTACTTTTAAAAGTGAGTAATACTGTATTTTATACTAAGTTCTAAAAAAAAATAAGAGGCTTTCCCTATTAATACAGCAGGAGTTTAATAAAGGTCGTTGCCCCTGTGACCCCACAGCATGTGTGAAGTCCCACCTGACCATGGAGACTGTCCCTGATCACCTCACACTCAGATGGGTCTGCTACCCTCCGGGCTCCTTTTATGCCTTGTGTGACCTTCTCCCTACTGGTCCTTTCTCCTGAAACCCCCTCCTTTCAGACACATGCGTGGTTCTTGCCCTTACTTCCTGTGGGTCAACACAGAAACATGTCAGATACAGAAACCTACTCTGAGCACTCCACTGCCTCTGTGCCCTCCTGCCCGCTTTAAAAACACAGCCTGTGTGATTCTGTGCCTGCTTGCCTTTGTTGTGGATCTGAATGCATTTGGGATCACCTAAGGGATGTACTGTTGGGTATATGTGAGGAAGAGTTTCCAGAAAGGTCGACGAGGGAGGACCCACCCTGAATGTGGGTAGTATCACTGTATGAGACGGGGTCCCAGACGGAAGAAAAAGAGAGGGAGTGAGCTGGGTACCAACATTTTTCTCCTTAGCACTGTGTATAGATCCTCTCCTGCCATCATGCTTTCCCATCAGGATGGGCTGTATCTCCTCTTAAGTGATGAGCCAAAACGAGCCCTATTTCCTTGAGTAGCTTTTGTCAGGTGACTTGATTGTTGCATCAAGGAAAACAACTAACAAAGTCAGTACTGAGAACGGTACCGTTGCTGTAAGAAATCTGACTGCATCATTTGTAGATCTTTGAAACTGGTTTGTGGAACAGATATGGAAGAGCTTGGAGCCGTGGGCTAAAGGAGCTGCTGGGTGCTGTAGGTGGAGCTCAGTGGGCCACCATGGTAAGAGTTTCAAACACCAGAGTGGGAAGGGAAGTGACAAAGTGCCCAGCTTTCGAGGTTGCAGGAAGGAAAACAAATGCTTGTTAGGAACTGGACTGGAAGCCACTCTTGTCAGCTTGCTCTCCTGCTGCTTGCTTTTCTGCCACAGGGGACAATATCTTTCCCGAAAGCAGGAGCTACAATAATCCCTTCATTCATTCTATAAGTTGGTTTTGTCGGGTATTAGTATTTGGTGACAGCAATAACAAAAAACTAACTTATGCCCCTAAAATATCATACATAAGCATACACATACGTTGACTGTCTCTTCTTCACTAAGTGAACTTGAGCGCAGACACTTTGTTACCTTGGTTCCTACCTGCTTATTATGCAGAGGCATGTCTGGCAGAGACCAGACCCTCAGTCAACACTGGCTGAGGGAAGTTATGGCTGCCAACTGATGTCAATGTTGGCCGTCTTGGTACTCGCATGGGACCAACATTAGTTCTCTGCTCCATCAGTCTGAACCAAACTCTCTCAATTTTGGATTCTAAAAGTCCTAGAGTCCTCCTAGGTGGACAAGTTCCTGCCTTTTTCTAAGACTTTGAAACCCTGGCTCCATATCTATCCTAAATATATCACCATCTCCAATGAATTTCAGTAGGCATGCTATGGTAGCCCTTCCCCTGGCTCTTTGGTTACTCGTGCAAGCCCATTGTTTTATGCTGGTTAATGCCTCACCCCTTTGTAGAATTATTCCTACAGAACATCATGCTCAGGCAGACCCATGTACAGAAGATGCTGGTCAAGGGATTTCTATGTCTGTTCCATCATTTGGTGCAAGGGAGATGTCACAAAATGTGACAAGCAGAGTGGCACACAGTGACAGCTTCTCCTCTAGCAAACCTCATGAGGAACAGAGAAAGGGGACAGATGAGGGTGGGAAATGCTATTCCATTATATGCAGGGTGATGATTGACAGGGAGGTGGGGAAGTAGACTGATTTTGGAGATATGAAGAGTTGGATGGATTTAGTTACAACTTTGAGACATGGAAGCAAGACCAGGGGAAAGGTTGATGGCAGCAGCAAGATAAGGACAGGACACCATCAAGAAGTACACCCCAAGATTAGCAATGGCTGCCTGGAGGAGGCTTCAGAGGTGACTGCAGGAGCAGGCTTCATGGTAAGGCTGAGTTCATTGCCATCATAGCGTTTCAAAGGATGAATGGAACTTATGAGGGACTTCAGATGAAATGCTCTGTTGCTGCTGTTTTACATGAATATGTATGTGATGTTGTGGTATGCATGCATGCATGTATGTATGTGTTTGTATATATGTTCACATGTATATGGATGCATATGTGTACGCACATGTCTGGAGACCTATGTTGATGCTGTCTATCTTTCTTGATCGTTCTTTACTGTGAGGCTGAGTCTCCCAATCGAACTCAAGCTCACCAACTAGATTGTCTATCTGGCCAACTTGTCCTGGAGAGTCCCTTTTCTCTGACTCCTGAGAGCTGGCTATCACACCTGTGAGGCTTTTATATGGGTTTTTGGGACGCAAACCGTTTTGTTGGCAGGTGCTTTAAGCACTGAACCATTTCCACAGTCCCCAGATGAAATGTTTTTGAAGGAGTTTATAATTTAAAATACTATTGTGAGTTAAATTCAATTGTATATTTAATTTTCTTTGAATTTGTAGTGTTGAAAAACTAAGTTGCAGTAGAATTAGAGAACAATTTCAGATTTCCCATTTTCTTAGTCTCATTTTTTAAAAAATATTGGTGGAAGGTTATGTAAAAACAGAGTGCTTAATAACTATCAGTGACTCAGCAAATTATTATGTTCAGAGCCAGTTGTTTGCAACTAGACAGAACCTTGGCACACAAAACAACCACTGTGCTTAATAATGAGTTAGTGATTCTTTTTTAATTTTTTTGAGACAGGGTCCTGCTCTCTAGGCTGACGGGGGTTCCTTTTCCTCCTGCCTCAGCCTCCTGGCTTCTGGCATTGCCTAGCCGTAGCAACACTCTCTGTTCATTCGTAAACTCCGTGTTGTTTCCAGTCACACAAACCTGTTTCTTCTTGAGTTTCCTAGAGCAACACTCTCTGTCCATTCGTAAACTCCATGTTGTTTCCAGTCACACAAACCTGTTTCTTGAGTTTCCTAGAGCAACACTCTCTGTCCATTCGTAAACTCCGTGTTGTTTCCAGTCACACAAACCTGTTTCTTCAGTTTCCTAGCACCTCGGCTTCACTTTTGCACATCCTGCCAGGCACAGCCCACAGTATTTGCATTTCTAACGTGCAGAGTCTTTCCCTCTTCCAGTTTACATGGTGTATTCACACATTTTGTTATCAAAACGCCCCTCTCCTAAGCAATCTTTTAAATAATAACTTAGCAACCAGGAAGAGTCTGGAGCAACAACAGACTCCATCTTGTTGCTCTGCCTGGAACCACCAGCCTTGCTATTTTTACCGTCGGTGTGTGTGGAACTGGGGAGGCCGCAGTGCTGGCGGCTTCCTGTCCTGTCCTTCTTTCCCTTCTCTTTTCCAAGGGGCACTGTCTCCTTGTGTGTACTGACTATTCCAAGTGTGTGAGTTTCGCTCTGCCTGGCTGCAGGATCTGCCTGCTGCTTTGTTTCCAAGCAGACATGACGCTTAGGGAGCTAAGCTGGTCGTAAGGACAAGGGAATCGTCACATGCTCACCCACCTCCAACTCTACTCCTTAAAACCTGAACTGAAGATAACTGAACACTATTCCTCGAAGTTTTGTTCCATCTCATCTCTGACGGGAGCACAAAGTTGGTGAATGAAAGGACTATTCCAGATTCCCCCTCCCCAGAACATGATTTTATGCATATTTGATTAGGGAATCGTACATGTGTCTATGAAGAATGTGTCTGAAATACCCATGCAAGCAATGGAGCTAAATGGGAACCTCGGCTGGTGTGTTGTGGGACACAAGCTTGTGTCCAGACATCTTGGCTAAGGATAGGTAAACTCTTTAGGTGTTAGGCCAAGTACACTCATTCATTGATTCACTTGCTTGTTTACCGAATACCTCTCGGGAGTGAGATTCCATCTTAAATTCTAAGATCATTGTGAAGGGGACATGCCCTTTTCCCCCTCAAGATGTTTTCCACGTAGTGATGAATTAGAGTGTCAAGATCCCATCATGTGATAGTTTATAAACTGAAATGCAAACAGTGCAGCCATTTTGGTGTTGACTCCCTGCTGTGTAAATGGCCTTCTGACTGTGTCTAGATGAAATGTGAACAGTACTCCCTTCAGCGTGCCTGATGCTATTCCCTGCTTCTAAAATCACAGAAACATGAGCACTCAACATGTCACGTTACTTAAGCAAAAGTTCTTAAGAACATTTGAGAGGGCAGTTTAGACATACTCCAATGAAGACTGTCTATAACAGTGTATCCCAACTGAAAATACCCCCCCCATGTCCCTGAAATTCTGCTAATCAGAAGCAAAACACAGAATATTAGTGTAAGAGCCATGTCAACAAGACCCAGTGAAATGAAAATAATTAGTGAAAATGAGTGTCAACAACTCTGTTGGCCTTAAAAGGAGTGAAAGTGCTGATAGCCAATTGCAAGAAAATACCAAAATCCTCCCAGCTTTGTCAGCTTCTACACACCAGCCTTTCATCTTAGCTCAGACTCTCTGTTTGTGAGCAGTTCTTTTGTATGCCCAAATAAGCTATAATCTTAAAAATTACCATTTTCTTTTAATATCCATTTACCCAGGTTGGCCTCAAACTCATGGTCTTCCTGACTCAGGCTCTTGAATGGTGAGATTTTACTTTTGACACTGTAAAAAATCTCACACCCCTAAGTCACTGCCCTGTATTTTATATTTGTCTGTGTTATGCAAGACCCAGACTAATCATATGTTAGTACTGACAGAATATGGTCAAAAGTTGTGGCCTCCCAGATACTGTCCTTCCTTTACTTGCTTCAGAGAGGCCCTGCTTGTCTGCCTGACTAGTGAGTGGGCTGGAATTGCAGCAAGCAGTCACACAGGCAGGCAGAAGACCTCTTCCTTTGCCCACCTGGAGACCTGGGAGACTCATGGCATCCTACAGCCCTGGGCTATGAGCTGCCCCTCCCCCAGGTTCCAGATGCCTTTTGAAGTCCTGGATTCACAGCTGTGTCTGATGCTTGTCCTGTCCCTGCTTCTGGGTGCAGACACTATGATGGACCTTCAGTTGGGCTGAACTTGACCTTCCCCTCCCCCATGCCATCCCAACTATGACCTTTGTTACACTTACCTTGTCTGCTCTCAGGTGCCTCACTCCTGATGCAGAAGCCCGTCCGGATATTGTAGAAGTTAGTTCCATGATCTCAGATGTTATGATGAAGTATTTAGACAACCTCTCCACATCCCAGCTGGCTTTGGAGAAGAAACTGGAAAGGGAGAGGAGGCGCACACAGAGATATTTTATGGAAGCCAACAGGAATGCTGTCACATGCCACCATGAGCTGGCTCTGCTGTCCCAGGTAAGTAGAAACCTCTTGGTCCTTACAGGAGGCCTTCTAATATTCTGTCTGAAGACCTTCATGTTCATCTTAAGGAAAAATTGCCTACAGTAAGGGAAATAGTCAAAACACAAACTATTTCATCATCATATAGTTACACATTTGTGTTCATTTTTTATATTCTGCAAATGAATTTAAATAATTCAGAATTGCTGATCTTCTACAGAACATGATGTATTGTCTACTATGAAACCGGAGCATCAGGAAGCTCTCTTAGAAAGTTCTCATATGAAGCTAACGGTCTCTATATGTAGCTCCTAGTGCTTTTAAATATTTTTTTCCTTACTCATCTTGTTGCACTTTTTTTTTTTTTGGTTTTTACGAGACAGGGTTTCTCTGTATTGTTTTGGAGGCTATCAGTCCAGCCCAGCCTCGAGCTCACAGAGATCCGCCTGCCTCTGCCTCCCGAGTGCTGGGATTAAAGGCGTGCGCCACCACCGCCCAGCTATCTTGTTGCACTTTTGGCTAAACATGTACATTCAGTCAGAGAAGAAAATAACATTTGCCTTTCCATTTTTCTTACTGATCTGGGTAAGCTCTCTGCTTGCTACTGTGTCCTGACCTTGTTGAAGGTCACACCCTTACAAGCACTTTATATGTTTTAGTAGATTAAGATGCAAGAGATTTAGCTGTTTCTTTCTAGCTTAGTAAGAGCTTGGAGCATGGGATTAGTCCTGCACCACAAAGCTCTCAACCGGTTAATGTCTATCATTCTGTCCTGTCTGCTTCCCACGCCTGGCTTTTTCAGATCTCTCTAGCAATCCCCGATACCACATGATTTGACCCATCAGTGTATCCTTACTCACTCTGAGATTGAGAGTTCAGCTGGAGAATCAGGCTCTCAGAGCATGGCCAGAAATGCAGGGCAATCACTGCAGCCAAAGAAATGGGTTTTGAGGAAGTATTATTTATCAGCTCCAGGGAATATTAGAGTTAAAGTTTAATGTGTTCAGATCTACAGCATTACTTCAGAAGTCAGAGTACAAGTGTTTGAAAGATTGGTTTTACTTAAGTATGAGCATGATAGTAATTCTTTTGTTTAACTGCAAGCATGATTTTTTTTTTCTGAAGAATTTACATCTTGAGGGGCTGTAGGTCTGTGTTGTAAGAGTTCTCTGACCTGCAGTTAGGTAGTACTTTTCACATAAGCATTGCAGTAGCACATTTTCTGTTGGAAAGACAAAATACCCAGGATTTATGGCTAATAAAGGAGACAGGGAGCTGGGGGCAATGGCTCAGTGGTCAAGACAACCTGGCTGCCCTTTCAGAGGACCAAGGTTCGATTCCCAGCACCCACCTAGTGGCTCACAATCATCTGTAATTACAACACCAGGGGATCCAATCTGGTCTCTGTGGGTACTGTCTGTAAGCACATAAACATATAGGCAGGCGAAACCTCCATACACATAAAAATAATAAATAAATAAACAACTAACTAAATAAATAAATAGAATGTTCAAACATTTTCTTTAACAAGGAAAACAGGGCTGGAAAGATGTCAATAAAATACTTATCTTATAAGCTTGAGGGTCTGAGTTGCATCCTGGTACTGCTGAGCTTCTCCTAGGGAGAGTAAAAAGTGTCTTTGCACTGCAGATACCAACCGACAACACAACAAAGAAATGATGCCCCCAGAGTCTGACTTGGTGAACTAGTGCTTTTATTGGGGTTGCTTCCAGGAATCTGGATGGGGGTAGAAATGCAGACACAGTTCAAATGCAGTGTGCCACCAAAGGGCCCACCCGGCATGGGTGACAGCTCATGACAGCTGCACCATTGCAGTTCTTTGTGTGACTTGCAGGTAACTCGACTGGTGGGAGAATTTCCTCTTCCCAGCAGCCATCTTACAGCTTCTGCCATCTTGGGGAAGGAGCTGGGAATCTTGTTGACTTCAGGAACTTCTTGCTATTTGTGTGTTGTGAGTCTCCACTCTCGTTTCTGGGCGGATGTTTCAGTTCGGAGAAAATCAAACCATAGCAAGTACGCACATAAAAAATAAAGATAAAACCTGCTGGTCAGGGGCTGTTTCATGGCTGGGTGAGACACTTGCTTCCCTAGTTTGTCTGCTTGAGCATGCTCCATAGTACCCATGTCAAGTCAGATGTAGAGAACTGGATCCACAAAGCTGTTCTCTGATCTTCATTTGCATACTATGGCATCCTTCTGAGGCCTACACATGTATCATGCACAGACAAACGCATAATAACAACAGCAACGTAAACTGTGCAGATACACTGAGAATGATTGTAATCTCCACACTGGTAAGGTGTAGAAAGCAAATCACTGGTGCTCCCTGTCCTGCCAGCCTAATCTGCTTTCTCAACTCCTGTTATATAAGAGACCCTGCCTCAAAAAAGAAGATGGGGCCACTGCGTTTCATAGGAACGGGAGTTTCACAACATCACGATGACTGGGGATCCTAGGGACACAAACGATAGAAGAGAAGTTTTCCTCTGACCTCCACCTGCATGCACACGTGGGTACACACGTATGTGGGTATACACACACAATAAATTAATACAAGGAAGGAATGTCCTGAGGTTGTTCTCTAGCTTCCAACTCATGAACACACATGTACACACCCACACATACCAAACACACAGCAACCATTTAAAAAGAAAGGAAAACAAGTTTGTCTTGTTTGTAATTTTCATGGCTCATGTCCTGACTGTGTGGCATACAATTTTTTCTTTTTTTTGCTTTTTCGAGACAGGGTTTCTCTGTATTGTTTTGGAGGCTGTCCTGAAGGTCGCTCTATAGACCAGACTGGCCTCGAACTCACAGAGATCTGCCTGCCTCTGCCTCCCAAGTGCTGGGATTAAAAGCATGCACCACCAATGCCCGGCTGTGGCATACAATTAAAGATGGTGTCAGTTCTATCAAATGTGTAGTGCCTGTGTTAGGTAGATGGTTTTATTCTGCTGTTGGCTTGCCCAAGCGGGAGTTCTGCAGTAAATCAATGCCTGCCAGTCATGTGGAGAAACACATCACTGGGTCCCTCATCTATCACAAGGTGCTTCATGAAGTGTTCAATCTTTATGGAACATCAAGGGATAGTTGACTTCAAACCAAGCTTCTGCGACTGCTTTAAAAACACAAAACTTCCCTCCTTGTACTATGGTAAACATATAATAATCTTTCCCTTCCAAAATCAAATATTAAGAGGAAAACATAGCTTTATCGAAGAACCAACAAGTTCTTATTATGGAGTGCATCTTATCAAAAGAAAATAAGCAGTTTCTCTGTATTACTCTCACTGGGCATCAATTTTTATCATAATTATCTTTATCTTCTCATTGACTTCTTTATTTGTTGTTGTTCTTACTCTATTTTAATTAAAAATTTTCAATTAGCATATGCAGAATTGAGTCTCATTATGGCACCCTATCCTTTTTGTTTTTCTCTTCTCTGTCTTCTCTGTCCCATTACCCCTACTCTATCCTTCTTGTTTTTCTCTTCTCTGTCTTCTCTATATTTCTTGTTTTTCTCTTCCCTGTCTTCTCTCTGTCCCATTACCCCTTCTGCTCCTTCAGTAGCCTCCTCTGTCCTTTCCAGTCGCTTGTGTCCCATTGTCTTTTCCACTGTTATTTCCACCTACGTTTTACATCGTCTCTGCTTTCCTTAAGCATTGTTACAATTGTTCCAAGTACGAGGAAGGCTGTCTCAGAGCAGCTAATATCAGTGCCCCAGGGAAGAGAAGTCAGTGGACCACTGCCGATCCGCACACCGGGAAGGAGGTCTGTGGTGAATTGGTGGAACCCTGCCGATTAGTGAGTTAGGTGAAAACGAACGGGAAACACTACAGACTTCCATCTCAGGGGCCCCATGCTATTTATTCCCATACTTCAGCTTATTTTCAATTATGGAAGTTTTCATTATAGACTACTAAAGATGAGTACAAATATATATTTCAAAAGAGCCACGGAAGCTTCATTTATGAACTATGTTCCTGCAGGGTACTACAGTTAGCTACTGTGAAAGTGAACAAGGCATTCCCGTTAACTTCTGAGTTCCAAGTAATAACTGATACAGAGAGCTTTTAAGAATGAGAATGAATTAGATGAGAACAAGATACAGACTTTACTCAAATGTCTAGCAATGAGAGGTGTATGGGTCACATCCGAGACTGTGACAGTCACATCTTGTTTGGGGTTCTGGCACTGGTCATAATGCATTGTGGTATTGCATTGGGTCATGATGGGTATTATTTTAGATCTGAAAGAGAAAAATCAATGTAGACATTGTAAAGAAGACTTTGTTTAGTTCTTCCTCACCAAATGTGGGGCAGGCATTAGCGCTGGGTTTGCAGGTATGCACTCAACCTGGACATCAAGCTCAGCTTTGACTGTAGGGGTTCTGGAGCGCTGAACAATTATATTTAGATCAGTGATTCATTTTAATTTTACTTTGTGTACAGAATAAGAAAGAAATAATTTTCCATGTGAATATGCAGCTTTTCCACATCATTTTAAAAAATTTTAACTATCTGTGTGAAATCATTTGACAAAAGTGAATAGCTCTATTTCTGAGCTCTGTTTGGCTTCATTGATCTGTTCACTTGTCCATTGACCAATTATCATTCGGTCTTGAATATTATAAAGCTGACACTTTTTTTTGAAAACGAGTTATGCATATCTGTCTGTCTTTGAAAGATAAGCAGTGAGGAATGTTTAAGGTGAGAAAATGCATTTTTCCACGTGGTTGTTGTTTTGTCTCTACTCTCAGAAGTTTCCAGACATGGTATACTGATGTCACTCTCCGTGCAGCCTGTGTGCTCTCTTTCCTGGCTGAGCTCTGTCTCTGAGTGTGCACTTGTGCTAGTGTTGAACTTGGGCTGTGTAAGTCCTCCAGCTGTGCCACTCTCTGTCAGCGTTGGTTTGGGTGGTGTGGGTCTATTGGGTTTCAGTGTCAGCTTTTTATGTTTCTGCTTTCTTTTAGGTTAGTTTACAGAGCGGTGGGCTCACCATGGGCTCTTCACTCCATGTTTTATTTTTGTTCAGCCGCCTCCTCTCACACTGGCCTTGCCCACTGTCCTCCTCATGCTGGCTCCCCCTTCCTGTTCCTCATCACATATATTCATATTTACTCTGTTGCTCTCTAGTTTTTCTCTTCAATCCTTCTTTAAGACCCCCTTTCTCCCTCTCATTGCCATCTCTCAGGTTACATTACCTGTATACCCCCAGACAAAAACACAAACAGAAAATACCAAGTCTGGGATCCACATAGGAGAGAAACATGTGGCATTGACCTTTCTGGGAGGTCTGGGAATTTTTTCTTAAGACAATTTCCAGTTCCTGCGGCTTTTGTCCAGATGTCCCGATTTCACTTTTCTTTATGGCGAATGAGTCCATCGGTGGGTACTAAGTTTTCATTACCCTTTCTTTCATCAGTTAGCAGATGTCTTCCCTGGCTCCATTTCCTTGACGTTGTGAATAGGGCAGCAATATGCAGGTAACTCTGTGGGAGGACTTAGGGGCCTCTGGGTCCAGCACAGGTACCTGGACCATATGGAAGTTCTACTTTTGGTTTCTGAGGAACCTTTATACTGGTGTTTATACTGGAACCTTTATAGTGGCAAGAAATAAAAGAAAGCATCACCACCAGCAAAGGTAAAGGCTCCTCTTTCTCCACACCTTTCCCAGAGTTTATCATTCGTTTTCCTCACAAAAGCCATTCTGGCTGACATGACTGCTGCAGCAGTCTTAGTTTGCATTGTCTAACAGCCAAGGGCACAGATCACTTCAGTGTTGACTGGAACTTCTTCTTTATTTTTTGTTTTTTGTTTTTTTGAGACAGGGTTTCTCTGTATTGTTTTGGAGGCTGTCCTGGAACTCGCTCTGTAGACCAGGCTGGCCTTGAACTCACAGAAATATGCCTGCCTCTGCCTCCCAAGTGCTGGGATTAAAGATGTGTGCCACCAACGCCTGGCTGTTCACTGGACATTTTATATTTTTCCTTTGGGAGCTGTTGGGTTAATTTCCCCATTTATTTGTTGGAAGATTAGTTATCTTGTGTTTACATTTTGAAGATTTTTATATATTGTAGGTATTATCCCCCATGTGAGGTGTATCTGATACACATTTTGACTGTTTTGTAGCCCGTCTCTTCATTCTGTACATAGTCTCTCTTGCTGTGAGGAAACATTTTAATTTCATGTAATCCCACCGGCCAGTTCTTGAGGTTGCTCCCTGTACTGTTAGAGTCCTTTTCACAAAAATCTTTGCCTTTGCTCACACAATGAAGTGTTTTCTCTATGTTTCCCTTAGCAGTGTTGATGTTTCAGGTTTCAGATTAACATCTTCAATCCATTTTGAATTGATTTTTATGTAGATTGAGAGGCTTGAATCTAGCTTCATTCTTCTGCATGTTGATGTCTACTTCCTAGCTCCATTTTTCAAGTCTGTGTTTCTTTTTCCCAGTTTATGTTTTTGACAATTTTATTGAAGACTCAATGGCTGGAGCAGTCTCTATTCCTGGCTCCTTTGATCTAGTCCATCAGTCTATTTGTCTATTATTATACCTGTACCATGCATGCTGTTTTCGTCATTGTGGTTATGTCATACAATTTGAAGCCAGGCAGTATAATACCTCCAGTACTATTTTCGTTCTGCTTGTAATTGTTTTGTCCTTTCATGGTTCTTCAGTTTCCAAATGGATTCTTGTATTTTTTTCTAGTCCAGTGAAGAATGCCATTGGAATTTTGATGGAGATTGAGTTAGATTCATACACTATTTTTCATTAATGTTCCTTTCTCTACAATGTTAATTCTGCTAATCTGTGAGCATGAAATGTTTTCCCATTTTTTAGTTTCTTTGTCAGTTTCTTTCTCCAGTGTCTCAAAGACTTTATGGCTGGACCCAGCTCAATGTCAGCAGCTGTGTGCTGATGGGGACATCTGCTAGCTTATTGTGGAGATCCTGGTTAAACTTTTTTCAGTTTTCTGTAGCTCTTTGCTTTATTTTTTAATTGATGTTCTGTCTTTTCTTTTCTTATTTTTAAAATATTGACTCTCACAGGTAACAGCTTCTCCTCTGTTGTCCAATCTGACTGCTTTAAATTGGGTTTGTGTCTTGAAAAGATCATAGAACAAATTTTATTTTTATACTTTGTTATAACATTAAGATTACCGTTGCAATATTTTTAATTCATCTTTAGTTTCATATATTCATCAAAACTTAGGGAGCATTTATTATCTTTCTGAAGAACATTCTATTCTCTTGACATAATACTTTACACGACAAGGGCTCTATATTCTGTAGTGAGGGACAGAGAATAGATACAGAGAGGAAGTGCATGAAACTGCAGATTGCTATAGCAACACATTTTTAAATGAAACTAAGTTTGCCTTCTTACTCTATCTCCCAGCATATGTAGGTTCTGAAAGAGCGCCTCTCTCACATTGGGAATTCTCTTTCATCAGGGTTTGCAGATGCAATTCTAGAAACTATTCGAAGTAACAAATTTATAGCCCAGCTGGTCCTGGACTAGCCAGTCCTCCTGAAGTCTAGAGTCACGTGACTCAGAGCTCACAGCCTCACTCTACTCTTCGGTCGTTCAAAGAAAAAAATGCCTTCTTTTTTGTTCTATGCATGTGTGCACATGCATGTCATATGCATGGAGGTCAGAGGACAGCTTGTGAGAGTTGGTTCTCTCCTTCCAGTTTGTCTGCTGCCTTTTCCCCAGGGATCTTTTCAGGCTCCCCAGTTTTCATTTTGCTGAAGAAACTCACTCCTAATTTGATTTTCTGTAACTAGTCATCTAGTTGTCCAGTCTGCTTTGATGATCCTGGGTTGATTCCTTCATCTAGTGTCCTGACTGCTCTTCTAACTTAGACAGGTTTGGCTAGCCTCTGCAGAGCACAATCTTCTTCACAGAAACTTCATGTTTAAGGTATTTCTAACATCTCTGCTCTGCCAGATCTAGTCCTGGTTCCAAACCTATGAGCATCTTTTAGAACCCAACATTTTACTCAGCATTTTCTGTGTTGGCCACACTTGGCATTTCAAATCCTTCTAAGGACTCTACCCTATATGTGTCAATATTGAAAAGAGATCTGTGGATGTAGACCTAACGTCATGCAGGCATTGGGTTCAGTCCACAACACCATAAGATACATTGAGACATTTTCTTATTGCATCAGTGCAATTAGATGTGAGTTTCTGCAAAGCCTGCAGCAATGGTGTCATCTGTGTTAAGAACAGGTATGTTTAATAAATCAAAACTAGAAATTTCAACGTCGGTGAGAGGGCTCAGCAGGTAAAGGCCTTGCTGAGTTGGCGCCTGCCCCTCTTGTGCTCCTGATCCGTGCCTTAGCTCTGCTGGTGATCTGCAGCCTTGCAGCCTCTGCACTTGCTGTTAATGGTCCCACAGGTGAATGCCTTTGGTACTGTGAATTACTTTAGGTAGCTCCTTTTTCAGTGCTGTTCTCCTTGACAACCCCAAGTTGCTGGCCTTCTATGTCATCAAACATTTGTATTTTTATTGAGCCTGAGATTATTGAGACCTGGGCCTGATGAGTGACTCAGGTGAGGTCTTATAGCCGACACACTTACATTCTCTCTGGAGGCCCTGGAGGAGTGTGTGTCCAGCTCTGCAGGCGGGAAGTCAAAGAGACTGGAGCCTTGAGTGACAGAGTCCTCCCTGCTGTCCCTCACCTCGTAGTGTGTGTCATTGCTCATTCCTCATGGCCTGGCTTTTTCAGATAGTCATGTTCCTTCCAGACATTCTTTCTCCACGGATACAGGGCTGAGTAGTTACCACTGCAAACACTTGGGAAGAGACTCAAAGGAGAGAAATTTATGGTAAATTGGCATCTGGGCTCTATTCCTTACAGGTAGTTGTGTTAGTATTTAGGTATCTGTACTGGCCTGTCCTTGGGGTTCTGGCAGGATATGCCCTCAACAGCCACTAAGAGCACCACCTGTGCATGTTCACTATGTTCCCTTTTAAAAGGACTACCTGACTACCTTCTATCTCCCTCTCCTCTCCTCTCCTCTCCTCTCCTCTCCTCTCCTCTCCTCTCCTCTCCTCTCCTCTCCTCTCCTCTCCTCTCCTCTCCTCTCCTCTCCTCTCTCTCCCCCTCTTCTGCTGCTCCTGTCTCTGGAGGATTATCTCCTCCCCCTTTTCCCTTTTTACAATCCTTTTCCCCTAATAAAAAAATAACTCCTCTGCTTGAAGTCTGTTGCACGGTGTCTTTCTTGAGCTGCTATTCTTAGATTACAACAGTTAGGTCACCAGTTCTCATAGGCCTTTGGTGGGGGCAACTTTGCCACTGATCTCTTTTGTCAGAGCGTTGATTCTAGATTTACTTCTTGGGGTTTATGGATTAAATGGGCCCAGTGGTGGGTTCATAGGCGGAATTACGGGTGTCACTTCTGCATTAAGTATTTGCAATCATCTTAGACACTTCCAAGTGTGTTGTAACAAGTGCCGGGTCCTGCAGAGGAAAGAGAGGATGAACACTCAGGGTTTTCCTTCCAGGAAACCTTTGAGAAGGCAAGCTTGAGCAGCGGCAGCAGTGGGGCAGCCAGCCTGAAAAGTGAGCTTTCAGAGAGCGCAGAACTACCTGGTGAGGGCTTCCACGCGATGCAGTGTGGGAAGGAGGAGGACAGGACCTGCGAGGAGGTGCTGTCGGAGGATAACTTCCACCTGGAGAGTGTGGAGAAAGGTGAGTTTCTGAGAGGTGAGGGCAGGAATGCACTGGGGACCTTCCGCGTTCAGGCTCACCCTCCTTTCCTGTGTGCAGATCTGTATTCTGAACTGGACGATGAGCTGGACATCTTGGACAACTGTAGCAGCTCCAGTTCAAGCCCTCTGAAGGAGTCTACATTCAGTAAGCTCCCTGTACAAGTTTGTTGTTATGGGGCTGCTGTGGGGGCATGGGAGTGGGAGGGGAGATGGAGCCCGAGCCTGCTGCAGGTGCAGCCCTCGTAGGGGTAGTCAGAGGCCAGACACCAGGCAAGGGGTGTTTTCTCACTTTATGTCGCTGTGATAAAACATCAACAAAAGCCACCTAGGGGAGGAAGGGTTCTTTTCCGCTCATAGTTCCAGGGGATCACCCATGGCAGCAGGGAGCGAGGCAGGAACTTAAAATAGTCACAGATGAGAGCAGAGCGAATTGAATGCATACATGCTTCTTGTGTTTAGCCCATGGTATATACATATATGTGTATACTCATTTATCCAGGACCAAATCCAGGGAATGGTGCCACCCACAGCAGGCAGCCCTTCCCATCCCAGTTAACTCAGCCAAGAAAACCCTCACAAGAAAACTCACAGGCCAACCTGATCTAAGGCAGTCCCCACTGTGAATTCCTTCCCTGGGTGACTTTAGACTGCACCAAGTTAATGAATGAAACCGAGCGTCACAATTATATATTTGTCACATCTAAGTAAAATCTTAAACATTTAAGACTGTGAAAAATATGATGTGTAAATCCAGCCCAATATTAGTCTTTTTTATCATTTATTTTTAAGTTTAAATTTAGATTAGAAACAAGGTTGCTTCACAAGTCAGTTCCAGATCCCTCTCCGTTTCCCTCCCCTCCTCCCGTGCCCTCCCCCAACCCCCCCAATATTCCCTCATTTCCCCAGGGAGGGTGAGGCCCTCCATGGGGGTGTCCACAGTCTGTCATTTCATCCACAGCAGGGCCCAGACCCTCCCCCAAGAGTTCAGGGTGAGAGTGCATCTCACATTGTTGGATGGGAGTCCAAAGTCCATGTGTATACTCGGGATGAATACTGATCTACTGCCCAAGGCTCAATGGATTTCCTAGGCCTCCTCACTGACACCCACATTCAGGGGGTCTTGATCAGTCCCATGCTAGATTCCCAGGCATGAGCCTGGGATTCAAGAGCTAACCCTTGTCAGGTCAGCTGTTTTGGGGGGGTTAACCCAGCCCAGTTTTAACCCCTTTGGTCATCAGTCCTCCCTCTCTGTTACTGGCTTTCTTGAGTTCAGCTCAGAGCTTAGCCATGGGAGTCTGCCTCTTCTTCCATCAGCCACTGAATGAAGGTTCTGTTTCCCAGACTCTCTGGCCATGGTATTGTAGGCTGGCACTCCCCAGATCTATGTCTAAAATCCATATATGAGAGAGTACATGCCATGTTTCTCTTTTAGTGACTGCGTTACCTCACTCAGGATGGTTTCTTCTAGTGCCATCCATTTGCCTGCGAATCTCAAGATTCCATTGTGTTTTTCTGCTGAATAGTACTCCACTATTGTGTAAATATACCACATTTTCTCTATCCACTCTTCGGTTGAGGGACATCTAGGTTGCTTCCAAGTTCTGGCTATTACAAATAAAGCTGCTATGAACATAGTGGAAAAGACATCTTTGTTGTATGAATGGGCATCTTTTGGATATATGCCTAAGAGTGGAGTTGCTGGGTCTTGTGGTAGGTTTATTCCCATTTTTCTGAGGAATCTCCATACTGATTTCTAAAGTGGCTGAACAAGTTGGCACTCCCACCTTCAATGGAGGAGTGTTCCCCTTTTTACCACATCCTCTCCAGCATAAATTGTCATTGGTGTTTTTGATTTTAGCCATTCTGACAGGAGTGAGATGGTATCTCAGCGTTGTTTTGATTTTCATTTCCCGGATGGCTAAGGATGTTGAACACTTTCTCAAGAGCCTCTCAGCCATTTTAGACTCCTCTATTGAAAATTCTCTATTTAGTTCTGCAGCCCATTTTTTAATTGGATCCTTTGGTGTTTTGGAGACTTGCTTCTTGAGTTCTTTGTAAATTTTGGAGATCAACCCTCTGTCAGATGTGGGATTAGTGAATATTTTTTCCCATTCTGTGGGCTGCCTTTTTGTCTTGCTGACTGTGTCCTTTGCCTTACAGAAGCTTCTCAGTTTCAGTAGGTCCCATTTATTAATTGTTGATCTCACTGTCTGTGCTACTGCTGTTATGTTCAGGAAGCTGTCTCCTGTACCAATTCCGTTCACGGGTACCATCCACTTTCTCTTCTAAGAGATTCATTGTGGCTGGATTTATCCAATATTGGTCTTAAGTTGAAATAATAACAAAGATTTTAAAAATGTACTGAGGAATAAGAAAGAAAATCATATATTTAGATATAATTTAAAGATTGTAAGGAAAAATAGGATCAAATAAACTTGGCAGACTGAAACTGAAAGAAATGTTAAAATAGAAATGGAGAAAAAGATAAATCTCACAGGGGAGTATGCTAACTGGATTTAAATTTTCCAACTAGAGATACTTAAATAAATGAAGTATAAATAATTCTGTCTGCTCAATGATTGTGCTATGAAAACCCCAGGAGAGAAGATAGAAAATAACTCTTCTAAAGATCCATGTTGAGTGCCAAGGGTTTAGCCACAATCCTTGTCTTTTCTGTATTTAATGACTCCATCAAAACAGTGACTAGATTTTCAGGAAAAAAATCACCACATCCAGTTCTTTGTCCTATATTTCTCAAGAGTTCCTGCCTGGGAGACAAAGTGCCTTGATTAGTGGTTGGAGAATGAGGGACACCATGCAGGAAAATTGCATGTAAATGTGTAGCAAATTCTAGAAGCACTGTGTTTGCTGCTGATGAGTCTGGTGGTGTTTATCCCTTGTCACGATGCTGGAGACGGGCAGTGGGGAGGCAGAGAGAGAGAGACAGGACCTCGACTTGGAGATGTCTGCACAAAGCTTAAGTGTGAAGATGACACAGACATACTGCTGTGTTTAGTAACAATTTCTGTTTATCAACTTTCCTTTGGGAGAAAAATAGCCTTATACAAATGGATCAAGTGCACAGTAATTTTTTTCCTTTTTTTTTTATTTTCCAGTTTAAATTTAGATAAGAAACGAGGTTGCTTCACAAGTCAATTCCAGGTCCCTCTCCCATTCCCTCCCCTCCTCCCGTGCCCTCCCCCCAACCCTCCCCCCCGTTATCCCCTCATTCCGCCAGGAAAGGTGAGGCCCTCCATGGGGGTGTCCATAGTCTGTCATTTCATATAGGGCAGGGCCTAGACCCTTCCCCAAGAGTTCAGGGTGAGAGTGCACCTCACATTGTTCTATGAGAGTCCAAAGTCCGTGTGTATACTTGGGATGGGTACTGATCTGCTGCCCAAGGCTCAATAGATTCCCTAGGCCTCCTCACTGACACCAAAATTCAGGGGGTGTTGATCAGTCCCATGCTGGATTCCCAGGCTGATGCCTGGGATTCAAGAGTTAACCTTTGTCTGGTCAGCTGTTTCTGGGGGTTAAACCAGCCCAGTCTTAATCCCTTTGATCACCAGTCCTCCCTCTCTGTTACTGGCTTTCTTGAGTTCAGCTCAGTATTTAACCAAGGGAGTCTGTCTCTTCTTCGATCAGCCACTAAATGAAGTTTCTGTTTCCCAGACTCTCTGGCCATAGGATTGTAGGCTGGCACTCCCCAGATCTATGTCTAAAATCCATATATGAGAGAGTACATGCCATGTTTCTCTTTTTGTGACTGGGTTACCTCACTCAGGATGGTTTCTTCTAGTGTCATCCATTTGCCTGCGAATCTCATGATTCCATTAATTTTTTCTGCTGAATAGTACTCCATTGTGTAGATGTACCACATTTTCTCTATCCACTCTTCAGGTGAGGGACATCTAGGTTGCTTCCAAGTTCTGGCTATTACAAATAAAGCTGCTATGAACATAGTGGAAAAGACATCTTTGTTGTATGAATGGGCATCTTTTGGATATATGCCTAAGAGTGGAGTTGCTGGGTCTTGTGGTAGGTTTATTCCCATTTTTCTGAGGAATCTCCATACTGATTTCCAAAGTGGCTGAACCAGTTGGCACTCCCACCAGCAATGGAGGAGTGTTCCCCTTTCACCACATCCTCTCCAGCATAAATTGTCATTGGTGTTTTTGATTTTAGCCATTCTGACAGGAGTGAGATGGTATCTCAGAGTTGTTTTGATTTTCATTTCCCGGACGGCTAAGGATGTTGAGCACTTTCTCAAGTGCCTCTCAGCCATTTTAGACTCCTCTATTGAAAACTCTCTATTTAGTTCTGCAGCCCACTTTTTAATTGGGTCCTTTGGTGTTTTGGAGACTTGCTTCTTGAGTTCTTTGTAAATTTTGGAGATCAACCCTCTGTCAGATGTGGGATTAGTGAATATTTTTTCCCATTCTGTGGGCTGCCTTTTTGTCTTGCTGACTGTGTCCTTTGCCTTACAGAAGCTTCTCAGTTTCAGTAGGTCCCATTTATTAATTGTTGATCTCACTGTCTGTGTTACTGGTGTTATGTTCAGGAAGCTGTCTCCTGTACCAATTCGTTCAAGGGTACCACCCACTTTCTCTTCTAAGAGGTCCACTGTGGCTGGATTTATGTTGAGGTCTTTGATCCATTTGGACTTAAGTTTTGTGCATGGCAATAAACATGGATCGATCCGCATTCTTCTACATGCCAGTCTCCAATTATGCCAGCACCATTTGTTGACGATGCTTTCTTTATTCCATTGTATATTTTTAGCTTCTTTGTCAAATATCAGATGTTTGTACGTGTGTGGGTTAATACCCGGATTTTCAATTCGATTCCATTGGTCTACCTGTCTATTTTTGTGCCAATACCAAGCTGTTTTCAGGACTATAGCTCTATAATAGAGCTTGAGGTCAGGGATGGTGATGCCTCCGGACGTTGCCTTGTTGAACAGGGTTGTTTTGGCTATCCTTTTGTTTTTCCATACAAAATTGATTATTGTTCTTTCAAGGTCTGTGAAGAATTGTGCTGGGATTTTTAATGGGGATTGCATTGAATCTGTAGATTGCTTTTGGCAGAATTGCCATTTTTACTACATTGATCCTACCTATCCAAGAGCATGGGAGATCTTTCCATTTTCTGAGGGCTTCTTTAATTTCTTTCTTTAAAGATTCAAAGTTCTTACGATACAAGTCTTTCACTTGTTTGGTTAGCGTTACCCCAAGGTATTTTATGTTGTTTGTGGCAATTGTAAAGGATGATGTTTCTCTGATTTCTCTTTCAGCCCTTTTATCATCTGTATATAGTAGGGCTACTGATTTTCTTGAGTTGATCTTGTAGCCTGCCACTTTGCTGAAGGTGTTAATCAGCTGTAAGAGTTCCCTGAGGGAGTTCTTTGGGTCATTGATGTAAACTATCATATCGTCTGCAAACAGTGAAAGTTTGACCTCTTCCTTCCCAATTTGTATCCCCTTGATCCCCCTTTGTTGTCGTATGGCAATAGCTAGAACTTCAAGTACCATGTTGAAAAGGTATGGAAAGAGCGGACAGCCTTGCTTTCTTCCTGATTTTAGAGGAATTGCATTGAGTTTCTGTCCATTTAGTTTGATGTTGGCTGTTGGTTTACTGTATATAGCTTTTATTATGTTTAAGTATGTCCCTGTTATCCTAGATCTCTCCAAGACCTTTATCATGAAGGGGTGTTGGATTTTGTCAAAGGCTTTTTCAGCATCTAGTGAGATGATCATGTGATTTTTGTTTTTCAGTTGGTTTATATGGTGGATTACTTTGATGGATTTTTGTATGTTGAACCATCCCTGCATCCCTGGGATGAAACCTACTTGATCGTGGTGAATGATTGTTTTGATGTGTTCTTGGATCTGATTTGCCAGTATTTTATTGAGGAATTTTGCATCAGTGTTCATGAGGGATATTGGTCTGAAGTTCTCTTTCTTAGTTGTATCTTGGGGATCAAGGTTATTGAAGCCTCATAGAAAGAGTTTGGCAAAGACCCTTCTGCTTCTATTGCATGGAATACTTGCAGAAGAATTGGTATGAGTTGTTCTTTGAATTTCTGGTAGAATTCTGCACTGAGGCCATCTGGACCTGGACTTTTTTTGGTTGGGAGACTTTTGATGACAGCTTCTATTTCCATAAGGGTTATAGGTCTATTTAAATTGCTTATCTGTTCTTGATTTAGTTTTGGCAAATGATAGCTGTCCAGGAAGTCACCCATTTCCTTTAAATTTTCGAATTTTGTGGAGTACAGGTTTTCAAAGTATGACGTAATGATTCTCTGGATTTCCTCAGAGTCTGTTGTTATGTCCCCCTTTTCATTTCTGATTTTGTTAATTTGCATGTTCACTCTCCGCTGTTTGGTAAGTTTGGACAAAGTTTTGTCTATCTTGTTGATTTTCTCAAAGAACCAACTCTTCGTTGCATTGATTCTTTGTATTGTTTTCCTGGTTCCTACTTTATTGATTTCAGCCCTCAATTTGATTATTTCCTGGCGTCTACTCCTCCTGGGGGAGTGTGCTTCTTTGTGTTCTAGAGCTTTCAACTGTGATGTTAATTCTCTGGTATAACTGTTCTCCTGTTTCTTCATGTGAGCACTTAGTGCTATGAACTTCCCCCGTAGCACTGCTTTCAAAGTGTCCCATAGGTTTGGGTATGTTGTGTCTTCATTCTCATTGAATCCGAGGAAGTCTTTAATTTCTTTTTTTATTTCCTCTTTGACCCAGGGATGGTGCAGTTGAGCATTATTCAATTTCCATGAGTATGTAGGTTTTCTGCAATTTGTGTTGTTGTTGAATTCTAATTTTAAGGCATGGTGGTCTGATAAGATGCATGGAGTTATTCCAATGTTTTTGTAGCTGCTGAGGTTTGATATGTTGACAAGTATGTGGTCGATTTTTGAGAAGGTTCCATGTGGTGGTGAGAAGAAGGTATATTCTTTTTTATGTGGATGAAATGTTCTATAGATATCTGTTAATCCCAGTTGGGTCATTACTTCTATTAGATCCTTTGCTTCTTTGTTGAGTTTCTGTCTGGTATTCCTGTCTAGTGGTGAGAGTGGTGTGTTGAAATCTCCCACTATAACTGTGTGGGGCTTTAGATGAGTTTTAAGTTCTAATAATGTTTTTTTTAACGAATGTGGATGCCTTTGTATTGGGGGCATAGATGTTCAGGATAGACACTTCATCTTGGTGGGTTTCACCTGTGATGAGTATGTAATGACCTCCTTCATCTCTTTTGATTGATTTTATTTTAAAGTGTAGTTTGTTAGATATTAGGATTGCTACCCCTGCTTGTTTCTTGGGTCCATTTGATTGAAAAATTTTTTCCCAACTTTTAACTCTCAGGTAATGTCTGTCTTTGAGGGTGAGGTGTGTTTCTTGTATGCAGCAGAAGGAAGGGTTCTGTCTTCGAATCCATTCTGCTAGTCTGTGTCTTTTTATGGGTGAGTTAAGGCCGTTAATATTGAGGGATATTAATGACCATTGATTGCTCATCCTTCTTTGATTTGTGATGGTTGTTGTTGGTGGAATTATATGTGGAATTTCACCCCTTTGTTCTTTTGGCTGTTGGTAGAAAGGGATTCTCTAATGCTTATGTTTTTCTGGTTGTACTTAGCTTCCTTGGGTTGTAGTTTTCCTTCCAAAATTTTCTGTAAGGCTGGGTTAGTGGACACATATTGCTTGAATCTAGTTTTGTCATGGAATATCTTGTTTTCTCCATCTATAGTGATTGAGAGCTTTGCCTTGTATAGTAGTCTGGGCTGGCATCCATGGTCTCTTAGTGTAGGTAGAATATCTATCCAGGACCTTCTGGCTTTCAGAGTTTCCATGGAGAAATCAGGTGTAATTCTGATAGGTCTGCCTTTATATGTTACTTGACCTTTTTCCTTAGCTGCTCTTAATATTCTTTCTTTATTCTGTATGTTTGTGGTCTTGATTATTATGTGGCGAGGGGATTTTTTTTTTTGTGTTCCACTCTATTTGGTGTTCTGTAGGCTTCTTGTACCTTCATTGGCATGTCTTTCTTAAGGTTGGGAAAGTTTTCTTCTATGATTTTGTTGAATATGCCTTCTGCCCCTTTGAGGTGGATTTCTTCTCCTTCTTCTATACCTATTATTCTTAGGTTTGGTCTTTTCATGGTGTCCCATATTTCCTGGATGTTTTGTGTTAAGGATTTGTTGGATTTAAGGTTTTCTTTGGTTGATAATTCCATTTCTCCTAGTGTATCTTCAACACTTGAGATTCTCTCTTCCATCTCTTCTATTCTGTTGGTAATGCTTGTATTGGTAGTGCCTGACTGTTTGTCCAGCTTTTCTATTTTCTGCCTTTCTTCAGATTGTGTTTTTTAAATGTCTCTATTTCAGTTTTCAACCCTTGCAGTGTTTGCATTGCTTATTGCAATTTTCTGTTTATCTGTTCGTCTGTTTGTTGCCTTTTATGAATTTTTTGGTTTGTTCTTTCTTCCATTTCTTGCATTTTTTGGTTTGCTTTTTGTTCCATTTCTCACATTTTGTGCTTTGTTTCTTCTTCCATTTCCTGCCTTTTTTTGGTTTGTTTCTTCTTCCATTTTTTTCATTTTTTGCTTTGTTTTTTTCTACCATTTCTTGCATTTTTTGCTTTGTTTCTTCTTCCATTTCCTGCCCTTTTTGGTATGTTTCTTCTTCCAATTCTTGCATTTTTTGCTTTGTTTTTTCTTCCATTTCTTGCACTTTTTGCTTCATTTCTTCTTCCATTTCCTGCCTTTTTTGGTTTGTTTTTTCTTCCAATTCTTGCATTTTTTGGTTTGTTTTTTCTTCCATTTCTTTGAGGGATTTTCCAATATCCTCTTTTAGGGCCTCTATCATTTTCATGAAAGTGCTTTTAAGGTCGTTCTCTTCTGCTTTGTTCGCATTGGAATGTTCGGGTCTTGCTGGTGTGGAGTCTCTAGAATCTTGCGGTGTCATATTTGTTTTTCTGTTGCTGACTGTGTTTTTGTATTGTCTCTTTCCCATCTCTTCTTCTAGTGGGTGCAGAAAGAGCCCCTTACTGGTCTGGGGACCAGAGTTCCCTTTTGGTGGGTGCTAGCAAGTCTAATAATCTGGTGGTTCTTCTATTCCTTGTCCAAATGCTGGTCCCGTGGGTGGAGAAGAACAACAGGAATCTGGGGCGCTTAGCCTCCTACCTGGTCCCCTGGACCCTATGCTGGGTCCTGTTGTACCTGATCCGGAACAGCTACTCCCCTGGTCTCCCTGGCTCCTCTGGATTCCTGGTCTCGCTGGTGGGAGAGAAGATCTGGAGTCTGGGGTGCTTGGCTCCTGCCGGGATTGGAAGCTCTGTGCAGTTCCCAGGCGATCTGCAGGCACTGGAACACAGGCCCGGAAGCCGGCCTGTTTACCTGATGCTGCTGGAGGAACAGCTGCTTCCCTGGACTCCCAGCCTCCTCTTGTTTCCTGGTCTTGTTGGTGGGAGAGAAGATCTGGAGTCTGGGGTGCTTGGCTCCCGCCGGGATTGGAAGCTTTGTGCAGTTCCCAGGCGATCTGCAGGCACTGGAACACAGGCCCGGAAGCCGGCCTGTTTACCTGATGCTGCTGGAGGAACAGCTGCTTCCCTGGACTCCCAGCCTCCTCTCGTTTCCTGGTCTTGTTGGTGGGAGAGAAGATCTGGAGTCTGGGGTGCTTGGCTCCCGCCGCGATTGGGAGCTCCGTGCAGTTCCCAGGCGATCTGCAGGCACTGGAACACAGGCCCGGAAGCCGGCCTGTTTACCTGATGCTGCTGGAGGGAAAGCTACTTCCCTGGACTCCCAGGCTCCTCTCGTGTGCACAGTAATATTTAACCTTATGTTTGAGCTACTTTCAAGAAGAAAAATGGTGGTTACGGTGAAGGGCAACCGCCAAGACTGCAGAGCCTCAGTAGTTGAGGAAAGGGTTGCTGAAGGCCGCCACACAGCTTGTGGCTGAGCACTGGCCCAGAACACACCCAGACCTGGACTCCTACCCCAGCACTGAACATGAGCCAACAATGAAAGCCACAGTTTCTGGAGCAATTACTTACAGTTACTTCTATTTTCTTGTTTCAGGCATTTTAAAGAGAAGTTTCAGTACTTCAGGAAGAGAAAGGCACTCACAGGCCAGGTATGTCTGTTTTGAGGGACAGTGTACCTGGAAGTGCGTTTGGTCTAGACAGAGCTGAGCCACTTGGGCTGGCAGAAGTCACTGTGGGCACGCGGGCATAGACACTGATGTCTTCCCCAGAGCTAGAACCTAGGGCTGCTTAGCAGTCTAGCATGCTGGAGAGTGCTAAGCCTTGTCCTGGACCCCTGCATGTCTGCCTCCTTTAATTCTGTGACAGCAAATCGTTCTCACAGCATAATCTGGGCCAAGGCAATGGAATAGCCTTGCTCAGTGAGGTCACCTGAGGCCCTGGATCCTTAGAATGTGGGTATGTGACTCAGCTCCATGGCGAATTCGGGCAAGGAAAGGGGAGTTAGGGACACACACTTCTTCTAAGGATCCAGTCTGAGTGTTGTGATATATTTGTCGGAACTCCATTATACAACCACGCCCATCTTAAAAATATGATTCTCTCTCTCTCTCTCTCTCTCTCTCTCTCTCTCTCTCTCTGTCTCCTCTCTCTTTCTCTCTAAGAGAAAGGAGAAATTATTAAAGGAGAAATTATTAGGGGACATCAGTTGCCCCTGTGACAGTAACTTTTGGGGGTAAGAACTAAAACTAGCTGGGCGTATGTGGCTCACCCCTTTAATTCCAGCACTCAGGAGGCAGAGGCAAGCAGATCTCTGTGAGTTCGAGGCCAGCCTGGTCTACAGAGCAAGTTCTAGAAAAGCCTCCAAAACAATACAGAGAAACCCTGTCTCCAAAAACCAAAGGAAAAAAAAAACTAAAACTAAACTGTTAGATTTGACCTTTGCAAGATCATTACCACCCTGGGAGAGCAGTTTGGGGGGCATTGGGGGAGGGTGGATGGAACCTCAAAGGCTGGCTGTAGTAATCTTGGAGCTCTAGAGGCAGGCACAGCTGCGGAATACGAGGAGTGGCTGGGACAGCTAGTGTAAGGGAAAGAGCCTCCTGGAGTCGGCGCAAGTCAGACGTGCCTATGGAGAGGCAGTCCACAGGGAACACAGTCAGTGTGCTTAACTGAAAGATACGGCCCCAGAGGAGTGTGGGGAGGGGCACAGCACTGGATTTCAGTCTGCAGAGAGAGAACCACACAATAAAGACCTTTTCGGTCTGCAGAGAGAGAACCACACAATTAAGACCATGACACAGAGAGGATGGGCCCGTCTATGAGAAGATGTTCCAGACCACTGCACCAAGGACAGCCTGGGTTCGGAATGCTCTCATCAGAAACGACCAGTATAGGGCTGGGAAAGACCAGCAGACAGCAGAGGGAAGCTCAGAGGCCAGCAGCCTCCATGCTGAAGCACACCCCCGTGGTGATGCCAGCGAGGTTTTACATACAGCCGAATATCCCAGTTTAGAGGGTTTTACATGAAAAAGGGAAATTTCTACCAGATAAATTCAGACATCTTGAAAGCTCAAGTAATTCTAGCCTTAATTTCTAGAAGGATCCATGGGAACTTTCCTCATTTATAATAGTTATGTTTGGGTTCAAACCTTCTAAACAACAAAGAAGCATATGTTAAATATTTTAACTCTTGAGGGGAGTTTCTTAAATCTAGAAATTAGTTTAAAATTTTCTAACAAATTATTTAAAATACAGCTGGTATATGGCAGTTCAACCAGAAGCAGAGACACTACAGAGTAGTACTTACCACGTAGTGATGAATCTGTGATCATGATAAGTGGCCGGGACACTGAGGCTGGTGCTCTCCCCAAACCCTGTTCCAGGATGGCCAAAGACTGACCTAAAAGCCCATTTCTATAGCTGTGTCACACATGCGGGACATACTGTGTGCCAAGCCACCAGGAAGCAGAGTTGGTTTGAGATTGGCTGTTTTCACTGCGGGGCATTCACAGTATAGACATAATGTGACACAGGGCAGGAGGGGACAATGATAGCAAACACCTTGCACTTCATGCAAAGCACGAGGAAAGAAAACTAAAACATGTTTTACTTCTTCACAGGTGACTCTAATGGCGTCCCTGAATTAAAATGAGGCAACTTTAAAGCATAGTTTCTAGTTATCTTGAAGACATTAAGTAAAGCTGAAGTTCTTTTTGGTTTAATTTGTTTAGGATATTCCTGGGCTTCTTGGTGTATTAGTGTGAAATATGAATTAATAAAACACGTAGAAACCAAATGATAAAACGTAAAAGAAGACCAGGCTACTTCATACTAGAGTAAAAATAAGTGGAGAAGTCAACCCTGTAGAGGTGACTTTGGCTTTTCTGTATGCAGCACGAACTAGTGTGGTGGTGACAAGGAGACCCTGGGTACTCTTCAGAAAGCACCTTGGTTGGGGCTAAGCTGAAGTCACAGTGATGCACACGGCTTCCCTAAGCATAGCTTCTGGAACGTAGGATCCAGGCATGGCTGCGGCGAAACATAACAGAGAGAAAGAAATCCTCAACTTTGATCACCCCAGACAGAAGCAGGAAGAACCATGGAAACCTGAGTTCAAGACCAACCTGGGTCTCTAAGTTAGCGCTTCTATTGCTGTGATTAAACACCGTGACCAAAGAGCAACTTTGGGAGGAAAGGATTTATTTGACTTACACATCCAAATTGTTGTTTATCACTGAAAGAAATCAGGACAGGAATTCAAATGGCAGGATCCCAGAGGCAGAAGCTGATGCAGAGGCCATGGAGGGGAGTTGCTTTCTCGCTTGCTTCCTGTGACTTGCTTAATCTGATTTCTTACAGAATTCAGGGCCACCAGCCCAGGGATGATACCACCTACCATGGGCTGGGCGTATTCCTATTGATCACTAATTGAGAAAATGCCTTTAAAGCTGGATCTCAAGGAGGCATTTCCTCAACTGAGGCTCCTTCCTCTCTAATGACTCCAGCTTGTGTCAAGTTGACACACAAAACCAGCCAGTACACTGGACAATGTAGCAAGAACCCCATCTCCGAAACTAAGAACATTCATCTGTTCATGTGATGGCTATTTGTTACTATTTAGCTTAGGCTAAATAGTATGTGGTTGTTTCTTTTACTTTCCTGGTACAGCATGATGTGTACAGTTGCTGATCCATGGGTATTTGTTGGATGCTTGTTCATTAGTAAATTAATGAGTTATCTCACTGCAATTTCTGAGTTTCTTACTGTAAAGGATGAAATCTTGTTCACTTCCTTGAATTAATTCATAGTGTTAGCTGTAGATAAAGGCCTACTCTTTTTTTTTATTCTGTTGCTTAGGCAACAAGATTTCTCCATGCCTACTTGCCTTCTGTTGCCAAGGCAACAGGGTATAGCTGGCTGGCTGCTCTGAAACATCAGATGTTTGCAGTGTCAGAGATTTCCTGCAGTGAATACCTTCTTTGTGAGCATGGTTTTACTAGAGGGTGTGCTCCTGACTCCAGTCTTTATAGAGAGAGATAGCTGTAGAGGTTTATGGTCATTCAGCATCACAGATGTGACCAGAACACCATAGCATTGTCTCTGGACCCAGGATCCTTCCCTCTTAACAGTCATCTCACTGTTTACTTGTGACCATTCTGCCTCCATTCTCATTCACAACCCGAGTCTCCTTTTGCTTTTATTGAATATGTATGCTTGATCATTGCTTACCGGAATCAACCTGGCCCCTCTGCTAGTGTCATAATCCAGCAATCTTCCCAGCACCGGGACAACAAACAGTACTGTGCCATCAGGAAGTGCTGTCCCTTTTCTATGGCAATTCTTAGATTGCCTGGTTATTGCTCAGTTGCTTTCAACCATCAATATAGTCCGAAGGGAAGGCCAGGAACCTGGTACCACCTCCTCATGGACACCGTCAATGAAGACACTGACTAAACATGAGAGCCCAACCTCCCTCAGTTCACCTGTCACATTTGTCATGGTCATGGATGTTGAAAGAGTACTTACCTTGTATGTTATGGCTGCAGTAACCTCAAATGATATGTTCTTAGTATTGTAAGCCAGGCTTCTCATTTCATACATTTGAAGGATTTCTTTGAGAGAAAAACTCTAGAGCGTTATCTCTTTCATAGTCAGGACTTTAATGACAAAATAATTATCCAAGTAATTCACGCTTTTCTGACAAAATAATTACCAAACCAATTCACACGGTGCTTGCATCAATTCAGAGTAAAGTCTGTTTTACTGCCTTCCCTCTGACTGCTGTGGGTGGGAGTCTAGGCTGGCACTAGGCTCATCACTTTAGGCTTATGAGCTGTGGACCAGGTCATGCTGGATTTGAGGGCAGCTAGAAGTCATGACCTTTGGAGTCCTTTCAGTTTCTGAAACTCTGTCACCAGCTTCAGGAGCTGTTTATACCCATTGAAAAACTTTCATCAGACAGAATCTTCAATATGCTAAGTCTTCTCACCAGAAAATAGGTCTGAAAGGTCTTCCTGGGTTAAATCATCCCTGTGGTCAACTTGAGCTATTGTGGGAATGCCATCATCTGGGATCACAGCTCTCCACAGGTCATAAACGCTCTGTGTGCTTTGGTCCACAATTTCCTCAGGCTCTGCATCATTTCTGCCATCTGTCTGCCTGTGGGTCCAGCAATTGCTTCTGCTTATAGTGTATCCACACTATTTTGAAATTCCAAATGATTGTCCATCCTTGTGGCTAATGACTTATCTTCAGAGAAATTAATGGTTTTTCTACTCTGAGATTATGAGGGTGGTTTCCTTTCACTACTAGTGTCTAGCCCAGGGCCTCTATGGAAAGAATAAGTCTCTCTCTCTCTCTCTCTCTCTCTCTCTCTCTCTCTCTCTGTCTGTCTCTCTCTCTCTGTGTGTGTGTGTGTGATGTTTTCTGTGAACATTCCCTGATGCTTGTTTTTTAAGGTTTATTATATGTTTTATTATGGGTATGTATACATGTACATCTGTTGAGGATACATGCCCACAGAAGCCAGCAGAGGGTGTTGAATTCCCTGGAGCTTAGAGTTATAGGTAGGTGTAAGTTTCCCTGTATGGGTGTTGGGAACCAAATTTGGCCTCTGCAAGAGAAGTATGTGCTGTTAACCACTGAGCCATCTTTCTAGCCTCCACCATAAAGCTACAAAAGAAAAATCTAGACTTGTGCAGAGCAGCACATATTTTGGAGCAGCTGAGAACAGTTAGGGGTTACATGTCATAGCCGATCACATATACTATTTAATAGCAGTATTTGAAATAAAAGACCTCCCAGGACAATGACCATCCAGCTAGCTCAGTTTGTGTCTTACCAGTCTTTCCAGAATTTCCATAAACACCGATGAAAGCTTTCCACAAGTTGTATTTTAATGTACCTTTAAGGTAATGAGGGCAATGAGATGTTGGACCCAGTAGCTATGTGCCCTGACAAATTCTATAGGTAAGGGATCGTGACCAATGGTTCTACAGAAGAGTCAGCAAAGTTTAATAAGGAGATATCTGGGCACACGTGTTGACTTGAGCAGTGAAAAATGTGACCAGTGCAACTGAAGTACCAAATGTTTAGTTTGATATTACTGTAAATGTAACACAGTATAAAACATAACTCATTATAAAATGTTGATATTTGGGGTACATTTGATGAACATATAAGATTAATCTCACTTTTTTTTACTTTTAAAAATGTATCTACCTAGAAAGTTTTAAATCAGTGGTGGTAAAAGGAGGTGGAAAAGACTACAGGAAGAAGTCACTGGTGGTGTAGAGTTTGGAGATTTTTCTGGCATTTGCACTAGAGTAGTTGGCAAATGTGTGCCAGCTTTGCTACTCTTCATAGCTTAGATATGAGCTGCATGTGAACACCGACAATCCTGTAATGAAATGGAAAGCTGGGACAAGACAACGGTCAGTGTGTTTAGTGAAAGGAGCCCTCACACCTGGGGCTGCTGAGCAGACTCCCACCATGCACCTCACTGGTGTTCAGTATGTCCCTGCTGGGTTGTGTGGCATCATGTGAGCCATTGGGGTGCAGCATGCTACTAAGAAATAGGTTTTGCATTCTAGCGGGAAGAGTTAAGAGGGAAGATTGCTTACCAGTATCCCCAGCGGGGGTGAAGGCCACCCCCACAGACCAGAAGGCTGTGGAACCAACTTTTAAAATGATTGGACAACCTAGAATTTTGAGGTGTGGAGGAAAGATTTTAACAGTCCTGGAAGCCCTATGAAAATGTAATTGTTGCAGTGTAAAAATAATTTTCTCTCATAGAATATTATGTAGTGATTGGTTTTTATTTTTACTCTTCATCTGAAGGACAAATCATGGAAAATACCACACATAATAAGTTAATATTGTTTTTAATACAAAAGTCACAGCCAGGTAAGGTTTAGCTATGTAGCAAGTGTGAGACTAGTGTAAGCTACGTGCGACCCTATCACACACACAAACACGATGCTCACTGCTTTGATTTTAATGGTACCAGAAGCACCATTTGGGATGCTGAGTTTTAGACTCTTGCTCATCTCCAAGGTCTGCCCATCACAAACCACCCTGGCAGGACAAGGTGCTTCTGTTTGCCAGAAGAAAGTCCATCCTGAGTTCAAAATGCTACTTTCTGTCTTTACTGAACACAGCAAAACCTAACCCTCAATGACAACCCTCAATGACTGTTGCTAGGTGGGACTTTCCTAATGGCCCCTGTCTGATTCTGTTTCCAGGGACTTCATTGGTGGCGTAGGATCAAGACCAAGACCAGGTAACTCCAAGTTGACCCCGACCGTGCCTTCCTGCAGGCTAGTGTGAGCTCATCAGCTCATCCTCTTCCCTGTTCTCTCCTCAGCAATGCTGCCCCTCTTCTTGCGTTTGAAAGCCAGGATCTACATGCCCAGGACCTTGCCTAAGGAAGGATACTGAGTCAGTAGCAGGGTGACAGTTACAGAGCCTGCCTGGTGGCATTCTCCACAGTCCCAAAGATCATGGCAGGAACTTGGTAGATCATTTTGATGTTAAGCACATGACGAGTGAGCCTAAGATAACTTGAATGATACCCCAGGGGAAATTGTGCCCCAGATAGCAACAGAATTCTGTCTGAATTGCCCACCACTGCTGCTTTTCAGTGGCACACAGCTGATCAGACTATAGTAAGCTGTTTTCCAGAATTTGCCTTCATGAGAATATTAACCACATACTCTATAAAGTATATAACTACTCCAAGAAATAGTGACTGTTTTTCTGTACACATTTATGAAATCTCAACCTCTGCAATGCCAGTTCTCTTCCATGTCATTGCATTCCTTTTTCACAGTGCTGCTCATAACCCATTAAGCTAAAAGACAGCTGCAAAGTTGCTGTTTGGAGCTATGTGTGCATGTGTGTGAAACCGATGAGTGTAGGGAATGGGAAGGCACCGAGCTAATGCCAGCAGTTACTTCTGATGAGTGGCCCTCACAAGAGGCGGTCCCCTGAGCCATGAACCTCATCTGTAATACACATTTTTGTGTGTTCTTGTGATTTTCAAGAGGCTTTTGCAACTAAACATTTGAAATTTTGCTTTAAGAGAGTAAGCAATCAAAGCTATTTTCAAAAAGTTAAGAGTTTTCTGGAACTGAGGAGTTGTGTCAAATGGACTGAAAACCTGGTTCTTAAAGTGCATAGCTGTGTGTTAAACAACAGGCAGTTAATTCTTTGTTTTTGTATTTAGGGTCACAGATGAACATGTCTGTGGTAAAGTACAGTCAAGCCTGTGTGGTACCCACTCAAAATGCTGTCACAAACCTAAAAGTGCCCAGCCATGTTGTGAGAGTTTTGCTTGTTCTCTATAAATGCCATGTCTGCAAATCCTAGCAGACTTGCCAGCACGAAATGACACAAAGCCAAGTCCTCCAGGTTTGACTTGCCAGCATGAACTTGGTGCTTTGCACAGTCCTGTTTTCAGTGAACACAGGCAGGAGGTTGCTCTTTAGGAGGCCTTTGGGTGGGGACACAGGCAGAGGTTAGGGCTACTGTGGGGAGCAGTTAGCGTTACTGCTCTGTTCTTAGCTGCAGTTAGTTAATTGTGATTTACTTGCTCATATTTTTTCCCTGAGAGTAATTTATTAAATCACAGTTTAATTATCCAATAATTGATACTTACAAGGAGTTTTCAAGAGAGACAGGCCCTTTACATCCAAACAAGGAGTTGGTATCACATGGTACAGAGCTCAGTTATTTCTGCTAATTTTCAAACAAGTAAATAGAGATACTCATAAAGAAAATCTTTATATTTTATTTTCCTTTTTGTTTTTGTGCCTTAAATGGAAGATTTTATGTTTTTAAACAACCACATTAAATTCTCTTTAATTTTTTGAAAACAAAGCACTTATGGTGAGACACACGACCTTTCCTGAAAGCACACGTGTAAGAATCATCTGGTGGCGCACACCTTTAATCCCAGCACTCGGGAGGCAGAGGCAGGTGGATCTCTGTGAGTTCGAGGCCAGCCTGGTCTACAAGAGCTAGTTCCAGGACAGCCTCCAAAGCCACAGAGAAACCCTGTCTCGAAAAACCAAAAAAAAAAAAAAAAAAAAAAAGAATCATCTTTAAAATCATAGTTGCTGCGGAAGCAATTGCTATAACAAATTTAATTTCTTCAATGCTTGAAATGGTATGGAAGGAAGAAAAGGAGGTCTTGGAAACTTAATTTTAATTAGAAAACACTTTTAGATGAGTATTACTGAAGAAAATGTGGTATAGATGGGAAGGGACCCAGAAGGAAGAGGGGTGTCATGCTTCTGGTATCTTCTATGCTTTCCATCCCAGTCTGTGTGAGAGGAGGCAGGCGTGGCTGGCACAGGGAGCGAGCCCTTCCTATATTAGCTTTTAGTCCTCAGGAGGAGACCACCGTGGCGAGGACGAGAAATGAGCGAAGCAGTTCTTGTGCAAACTAGCAGCCATTAGCTGTCTGTGAAGGTGTGATGGTTTTACAGTGAGAATCCGGGCAGAGCAAGTTAACCCTGACCACTGAGACCCAGAAAGAAATCAAAGTAGACATTACGATTTACAATATTTAAGGATTTGAACAGTACTTAATTCAACTGTGAAGTTTTGCCTATTTGATGTTTGTGTCTAGTAGTTTTGATAAAATCAGATTTAAAGTATGTTGTAGAAGGTATGATTAATTTAGTGTCTAAAACAAACAAATAAAAAACCCTCCTCAGAGCTCCATATCTGAGGCACCACTCCCTCCTAATGGCAGCCTCCTGCATTGCAGACAAAATATCCAAGGACACTCTGTCTTTTAGATAGTGTGTAAGGAATACTTTTGTTTCCAAGGTGCTTGAGGTGTGGAGGGAAATAACAACTTACTATATAAAACACAGAAGTGTTAGAGGTGTCATTGGTAAGATGAGATCCTGGCTTCTTTTTACCCCAGATTTTTTTCTGTTTTCCACAAATACCACTTTTTTGTTTGTTTGATTGTTTGTTTCTTTTTTGTTTTGTTTTGTTTTTGTTTTTTTGGGGGGGGGGGAAACAGGGTTTCTTTGTATTGTTTTAGAGCCTATCCTGGAACTCGTTCTGTAGACCAGGCTGGCCTTGAACTCACAGAGATCAGCTTCCTGAGTGCTGGGATTAAAAGTGTGTGCCACCAATGCCTGGCTCACAAATGCCACTTTTAAGTGAATTTAACTAACTGCAGAATTTATCACCCACAGCATCTGCAGGCATCGCGGTATCCCAGAGGAAAGTGCGGCAGATCAGTGACCCCATTCAGCAGATTCTCATCCAGCTGCACAAAGTCATCTATATCACACAGGTCAGTGTGTGCAGTGTCCCCTCGTGTCTGTATCACACAGGTCAGTGTGTGCAGTGTCCCTTCTCCTCTGTATGCCACAGGTCAGTGTGTGCAGTGTCCCCTCGTGTCTGTATCACACAGGTCAGTGTGTGCAGTGTCCCCTCTCCTCTGTGTCACACAGGTCAGTCTGTGCAGTGTCCCCTCGTGCCTGTATCACACAGGTCAGTGTGTGCAGTGTCCCCTCGTGTCTGTATCACACAGGTCAGTGTGTGCAGTGTCCCCTCGTGTCTGTATCACACAGGTCAGTGTGTGCAGTGTCCCCTCGTGTCTGTATCACACAGGTCAGTGTGTGCAGTGTCCCCTCTCCTCTGTGTCACACAGGTCAGTGTGTGCAGTGTCCCCTCTCCTCTGTGTCACACAGGTCAGTCTGTGCAGTGTCCCCTCTCCTCTGTGTCACACAGGTCAGTGTGTGCAGTGTCCCCTCTCCTCTGTGTCACACAGGTCAGTGTGTGCAGTGTCCCCTCTCCTCTGTGTCACACAGGTCAGTGTGTGCAGTGTCCCCTCTCCTCTGTGTCACACAGGTCAGTGTGTGCAGTGTCCCCTCTCCTTTGTGTCACACAGGTCAGGGTGTGCAGTGTCCCCTCTCCTCTGTATCACACAGGTCAGTGTGTGCAGTGTCCCCTCGTGTCTGTATCACACAGGTCAGTGTGTGCAGTGTCCCCTCTCCTCTGTGTTACACAGGTCAGTGTGTGCAGTGTCCCCTCTCCTCTGTGTCACACAGGTCAGTGTGTGCAGTGTCCCCTCTCCTCTGTGTTACACAGGTCAGGGTGTGCAGTGTCCCCTCTCCTCTGTGTCACACAGGTCAGGGTGTGCAGTGTCCCCTCTCCTCTGTGTCACACAGGTCAGTGTGTGCAGTGTCCCCTCTCCTCTATATCACACAGGTCAGTGTGTGCAGTGTCCCCTCTCCTCTGTGTCACACAGGTCAGGGTGTGCAGTGTCCCCTCTCCTCTGTGTCACACAGGTCAGTGTGTGCAGTGTCCCCTCTCCTCTGTGTCACACAGGTCAGGGTGTGCAGTGTCCCCTCTCGTCTGTGTCACACAGGTCAGTGTGTGCAGTGTCCCCTCTCCTCTGTGTCACACAGGTCAGTGTGTGCAGTGTCCCCTCTCCTCTGTGTCACACAGGTCAGTGTGTGCAGTGTCCCCTCTCCTCTGTGTCACACAGGTCAGGGTGTGCAGTGTCCCCTCTCCTCTGTATCACACAGGTCAGTGTGTGCAGTGTCCCCTCGTGTCTGTATCACACAGGTCAGTGTGTGCAGTGTCCCCTCTCCTCTGTGTTACACAGGTCAGTGTGTGCAGTGTCCCCTCTCCTCTGTGTTACACAGGTCAGTGTGTGCAGTGTCCCCTCGTGTCTGTATCACACAGGTCAGTGTGTGCAGTGTCCCCTCTCCTCTGTGTCACACAGGTCAGTGTGTGCAGTGTCCCCTCTCCTCTGTATCACACAGGTCAGTGTGTACAGTGTCCCCTCTCCTCTGTGTCACACAGGTCAGTGTGTGCAGTGTCCCCTCTCCTCTGTGTTACACAGGTCAGTGTGTGCAGTGTCCCCTCGTGTCTGTATCACACAGGTCAGTGTGTGCAGTGTCCCCTCTCCTCTGTGTTACACAGGTCAGTGTGTGCAGTGTCCCCTCTCCTCTGTGTCACACAGGTCAGTGTGTGCAGTGTCCCCTCTCCTCTATATCACACAGGTCAGTGTGTGCAGTGTCCCCTCTCCTCTGTGTTACACAGGTCAGTCTGTGCAGTGTCCCCTCTCCTCTGTGTTACACAGGTCAGTGTGTGCAGTGTCCCCTCTCCTCTGTGTCACACAGGTCAGGGTGTGCAGTGTCCCCTCTCCTCTGTGTCACACAGGTCAGGGTGTGCAGTGTCCCCTCTCCTCTATATCACACAGGTCAGTGTGTGCAGTGTCCCCTCTCCTCTATATCACACAGGTCAGTGTGTGCAGTGTCCCCTCTCTTCTCAGCCACAAGGACAGCGCTAAGACTGCTGGGAAAATACAGCCTGGTGGAACTTGGGTTACAGTGAGCACTGAATTGCTCCCCCTCTCCAACCCCATGTATGTGTATGTGGGGACACTTTGGCCTAGCACTAAATGTGTCCAGTTTTCTCCACGGCTCCTTCCTGAACTCCTCGTTGTGCTTAAACAGATTCCATACAAGTGGCCCTTTAGTGTGGGGTGCAAAGAGGTTATAGGGCTTGGTAGTATTTTCTACCAGCAACTTTATCATAGGAATGAGGGGAAATGGGATCTTTTTCCTTCCTTCTGCTTTGACAACAGACACTCAAGGATGTGAAAGTCTGACTCTCATGAAACCCAGGACCATTAGACTTTCTGTTTGTGAATATGAGTAATACTTTAGTACTGAAGACTAGTGTTATGGTCGCACTTCTGTCCAGTGCTGGACAACTGGGTGTTCCTTTCCCTAAGCCATGGACCACTTACTAGTAACCCCTCCCTCTCTCCCTCCCTCCCTCCCTCCCTCCCTCCCTCCCTCCCTCCCTCCCTCCCTCCCTCCCACAAAGAAGTGTAGACTCTTGGATAAGAAAATAAGTACTTTGAAGCTTGAGACAGTGTCATCTGGTGATTTTGTTTTCACCTATCAAGTGTCAAACACCATTGTAGGCATCTGGAGGCATGAGTGTCATGTAGTTAACCTTGATTTCCAACTAGATAAGCATTAACATCACCATGGAAGAAATGTCTGTGAGGGACTGTCTAGATTGAGATAGTGGAGGTTAGAATGTGGCTATCATGGGCTGGAACCTGGACGGAATAAAAAGGAGAAAGGGAGTTGAGCATACGCACAATTCCAATGTGACCAGCTGTTTGCTGTGGCTACTGGATCTTCCCTGCTGTTACAGGCTGTGTGCCCTAGACCTGTAAACCAAAATAAATGCCCTTCCTCCTTCCCTTCCTCCCTTTCTCACTCCCACCCTCCTTCCCTTCCTGCCTCCCTCCCTCCCCCCTCCTCCATCCCTCTCTCCCTCTTTCTATTGCTTTTGTCAGGTTTTTGTTTTGTTTTCTGCTTTTTTTCTTGTCTAAGCAACATGATCAGTAACTAACCCATGTCCTAGTTACCTTAAGAGCCACCATAGGAGCTGTTGGTACCAGTTATGGCAAGTCTATTTATACATCCAGGGCCTGAAGAAAAGTTCTACAGGCATATGTGCTAGCTTCCTCCTGATAAGAAAAGTATATACTCAGACTTCATCTATCCTTACCCATCTTGAGAGACAAAACAAAAAATGTTGATTTCTATAAGCTAAGGATAGTTTAAGACTATAGGAATCGCTACTGATTTATAACAAGAGCCTAGTGTTTCTGAGAAGCCAGCATATTCTTTTCCCCGGTAGACGGTCACTTTGATAAATGGCTGCACATTTTCCTGGGGATAGTGCAGAGGAAGATTTATGAAGAGTTCTTGTTGTAATGTTTCAGGATCTCTTAGGAGGCTTTGCCTGGGCCTTGAGTGGACTCAATTCTGCAAACTGGGAGAGGTAGAGAACCTTCACTGAGGCAGTGACAACTCGGGCCAGAATTTTGCCTATAGAATCTGGATCATCTTTTCTATTACCAGAAAAAACAAAAGTATTCAGTAGTGCAAGAACCAGATTCCTTTCTGGGAATGCCTGGCTAATTTCTCTACCAAAGCTTGCTGAAGCCAAGGTACATCATCAGCACACGCTTGCTTCTCTTTGTGGCAAGCACTGCAGCTGGTCTCTGGTCACTCTGTCTGTGCCGTTACATTCCCTGGACTCCTGTATCTTTTAGGGTCACAGCCAGCAAAGGTGAGCAGCTTCATGGTTTGCATGGGTGCAGGGCATTTGTTGCACTCTCCAGTGCTGTTCTGGAAGGAATACCTTGGAGGTTTTGTTCAACCTCAGCTGGGGAAGGTTGTGTAGCCCACAGGTCCACAGATAGGAAACCCACATCACTCGACCATACCCACTTCTCTGCTCCTCTGTGAATTCTGTCCTCTGTAAGCTCTGCCTTTTACCCCCTCTAAGGACAAGCCCACAGACAGCCAGGCCATCTGCACTGACTTCCACATGAACCAGCCCATCCAATGCACCACAGAGAGTGTGTGTGCTCACACCTGTGGGTGCAGCTGGATCCAGTGCCCTATTTATCCCTCCCCACATAACATCCACAGGATGTACTTGTTACTCAGTCTGAGGTGCCACTGTTTTGCACTGCAACCTTGTGAGTTTGGGACGTGTAAATCACTCCTTCTTGAGCCTTAGTGTGGATCAGTCACCATGTTTGTAAGGAAATCTGATGGGTTATGGATCTGGTCCTCATCCCCAGGGGCTTGTGAGGAATGTGCATACCTTTTGATGATCTCTGCTCCCAGTAGTCTTCTCATCCAATTCTCAAGCCAGGGGAGGTTTGTTTCCTCAGGACAGAGCAAGAAATTGTGCCCCCTGACAATAATAAAAACTGAAAGTGGCTTGGGTTTAAGATTCTCAACCTCTTCAGGGTTCAACAGGATGCCCCAATTTCATGTTTTGGGGTCCAGTTGAGTATCTTTAGGGTTACGGTATTGCATCCAAAAAGAGGACTAACGTGGAAATAGACACTTCCACCCTGGGCCTAGTGAGATTTGCTGAGGTGATGTGCTGGCCAAGCTTAAAGCCTGCACTTGGAGACAGGCCAGACAACCTGTCCTGAGGTCCCTGCCGAAGTCAGCACTCCAGGTTGGTGTGCTGGAAAACACCCTCCGTGGGATCAAGAAGGCCATTGGGGATTGTTGGTAGAAATACCTGAAATACTACTCTTCTATAGTGCCACTGAATGTGACTGGGAGTAAGCACCACCTGCCTTGGGTCCCAGCATGCACTAACTGTCTGCTGCTAAAGCCAAGCAAGGGCAGAACATCCTGGGCCGGGAAGGACAAGCTCCATCCTCTGGGTCTCTCAGCAGCCCCTACCCACAGAACTTAGCACCTGGCCAGCTAGCCAGGGAGAAACGCCCTGCTGCCTTGCAGAACAATCAGGATGGACAGAAAGGCACTGGCCACCTCCTACACTGGGGGACCAGGTGGGCAAAGCCACCTCCTTCTTTGGTACTGCACAGCCTCTGGTTCCCTTTGTTTCCCTCGTGCCATTCACCCCCGATTTTGGGGCATCTTATGCTTGGAGACAAGCAACCCATCTTGTCTTACTTTTGCCCCAAGTCTAATGCTCTTGTCAGTTGCACTGTCAACTGCCCTTCTGGACACAAGAGTCTAAATTGATTGTTTCTCACTGTTTTCTGACATCAGCCTGTGTCTTAGGTAACCACAAAGAACTCTAATTGATTAACTGGAAGAGTGTGGAGGAATGCAGGGAAACCTCTGGGAGAGAACTAGATTAATGAATATGAGTGTCACCTACCAGATCAGACAGTAGAGACAGTGTATTAAAATGCATGTCCATTTATGTACTAGTAGGAGAGTTTGGGAAAATACTCTTTAGTACCATAGAACGATCCTCAAATAGCTCTTTAGTTACTCTAATTGTTAATTATTGAGAGAAATATCCTTTGAAATTTAGCATAATTTCTGTATGTAAATTCCTGTGGCAAATAAACTCATGGATGTATACCCCTTTTTGTTGGATTTTAAAGCAAGGATGAAACTCTTGTGAATGTGTCATTATTCCTTTAATAAAAGGAATTCCTTTATTAAAGGAATAATGTGTGCTGGGCGACCTTGTTCTCTTTGACCAATGGCATGCATTTATTCCATGCTGCCAGTTCAGCCACAACAACTGGGGGTTTTCCAAATGTGCTTTCAGAACACTTTCAGCCTCCTATTATTGACTCAGTGAGAAAATACTCCTCTCTGGGAACGTTAATGTACAGTGCTCTCCACAGCCAGTGCCGTTCATGGGAAGGAGAGACATACAGCTATGCATTTGCTGCATAGAACACCAGGCTGTGCAGAGGAAGCTTGTCCAAAGTAAGACCGACCTGAGAAGCAGGGCAGCCCCCTTCCTTCCTCCTGTCCTCCTGAGCACTGTAGTGGGGACTGACTGCAAACCTAGCTTCTGGTTGCTGGGGATCATTCCTATCTGGTTTCCATGGAGACATATCTGCCAATTCCATCTAATGGCAACAGTTCCACACACCAGGAGGTTAAGGTCCTTCTTTTTACCTCTATCACACATCTGTTTTTATCAAGCTGGGTTAGAAGTCTTGAGAGAAGCATGCTAAGCAGGCAATGAGTGGCTTATCGCAGATGCTGGGAACCAGGTTTCTGTGAGCAGACAGTGATTAATGCTCATATATCACCTTTTAGTTATTGCATAGCTAAGGCCTGCAGAGTTGAAGGAATGAAACAAGCTTTAATTCTCTACTATACTTTAATCATTTTGTGAAATAAATGCTTTGAAGTCATCATATAACAACTTTAAAAATTACAACACATCTGTCTCCCAGAGAACAGATGGTGTAGTTTGGGGAGGGCCCACAGCATTGCCCATCATGGGGGTGCTATCAGCAGTGGATTTTGTCCCCTGGCTCTCAGTGAGCCATACTGTGTTATGCAGCAGCAGTAAAGTACAGAACAGTCTGTTCATTCACTGAGTCCCTTGGGTGCTCATGGCTAGGGTGACAGAGTCAACAGAATACGATAGTCATGGCATGGCTGGATTTCTCATATTGACTCTGTTTTTAGGGACTCGAAATTCTAAGAGAAGTGTTAGATTTTATTTCTTTAAATGGCAATCTTACAACACTTGATTTGAACATTTAGGGGAAATTCTTAAGCTGTAAAATGCCAAAATAGATTAAACCACTATTTTTGGTCTACTATTTATCCAACGGAGCCCTGCAAATTGCTGGTATCTTGCTCATGTATTCCTGGGTAGAAAATCCAGGCTTTTGGAAAGAATCCATATAGATACAAATTGAAGAAAACACACAGACTAGATTCTTCTTTTCATTTCATTAATTTGTATGGTACAGTAAAACCTCTTAGACACATGAATAGAAGAAAACATCTTTTCTAGAATCAGTTTCTTCATCAAGAACTGCTGCTTTTCTGAGCTGTGTGCGTCTTGGATGTAATAAAGGACGTGAGCGCGTGTATACCCTGTGAGACGCTGTGTGGCAGTGGTGTTAGCTGAAGGGTAAGGCTGATGCAGGAGGCTACACCTCAGAAGGAAGGTGTGTGGCACATCCTTTCCTCGCTAGAACAAGAATGTGGCATGTAAGCTTGCTGTGGGAGAGACACAAGAACATGAGTGTACAGGAGCGATGGCAGTGCCCAGCGCGCATGAGCCGTGGGCTCTGTTTTCATATGGACTGTGTTATTATACTCCCTTCATTTACAGCTGAGCCCTCATCATTCTGTGCAAAGTTCTAAATTCTCACTGAAAGCTTTATGGGTGGGACACTGTGCTGATGACACTTATCCCAGTGAGACACAGTAGCTTGTTTGCACTGTCTATGTGCAGATCTCAAGTCAGTGGACCGGACTCAAATGAGCTGTTAGACACTGAATTCAGGGGCAATGGATGAACCTCCAAGTTAACTAGAAGTTCATCAAGTTAAATAACTAGCAAGACTTTTCAGGAAGTCTGAGTTAATCTGGCAGTTAATCTGATACCTCCCAGCCTTAGGCTGAACCCCCTTGAAGGAGATCCTCACCTTCAAAATGTCACTGTAGCAAGCTGCATGTGCGGCCTTTGCCTTACAGGGGCGTGACGCAATCAAACTGCGAGGTTGCTGGTTAGACCTAGGCCACCACTGCCCTCTGCTGTTTGGTTTAGCAAGGTGGCACCTTCGGGTGGGAAGCAACAGGGAATTACCAAAGCCCGAGTCTCCAGGATGAGCCCTCACGCTCTCACTGCTCCATCCCACAGCTCGATAGGAGACGAATACTAAAAACTCTCTCCTTCACCTCACATGCTCCCCCTTTAGTCCATGTGCATGACAGCTGTGATTTCTGAGGGTTTCATGTTACCCTACCCTCATGGTGGCACACATAATTTTTTTTGACCCCTACATAATCACATGGTAACTAGTCAAACTCCCAGGCAGTGGAGCAGGGCTGGGGCACGGTCACATATGCAGTATTTCTGCCTGTGTTGGTCAGCGTTTGTTTTGAGTCGAGAATTTTCCATTTCTTATTAATTGTGAGTATTCATTTCGTCTCCCTATAGAGCCTTTCCCCCTCTGCTCTTCCTTTTGATATCAACAAGATAATTCTGATCCTACTTCCCCTGCGTTGTTTTTCGACCAGACATCACCTCGCCCCCTGGGCCGTCAGAACTCTGACTCCCTGTGTGAAGCCTGCCTGCAAAGCCCTACAATTCAGCGGTCCTCTCCAATCCCCTTCTTTTCTAAGAGTCTTCAGTGACTGCCCTTGTGTTTGTGAAATCCAGTCATCCTATTCAGGTCGTAATGCACGTTAACCCACCCTGTCTTTCTTCCCGGCAACGCTGTTCCATAGGATTTGGCTTCTCTCCAGCTGAAGAATTCACAGGTGGACATCTGAGTGTGAACCATTGAGTTTTTGTGTTTTCTGGTTCAAAGTATCAGATCCTTCTCAGGGCTGTGGCTGGGGTACGTGGCATGGTTCTGGCATGCCATAGACACCTAAGCATGAACAGAATGGATATTCCTTGCCAAGGCTGTTCCTCACAAAATGGAACATAGGTGGGCATAGATGTTACATGAAGAGTTGTGTCAGTGAGTGTAACCATGACAAGGTAAATGGAAGCAAACCGTCATGAGGTACAGAGGATGGAAACTGCAGCATATTATTTACTAATTCAGACTCTCCCTCAGTCTTGTTGGGTGCATATTGCCATGCTATAGGGGGTGATGAAGTGTGGAGAAGATGGCTGTAATGACTGTCTTCTTGCTTTCTGCAGCTCCCCCCAGCTCTGCACCATGACCTGAAGAGAAGGGTTATAGAGAGATTCAAGAAATCCCTGTTCAGCCAGCAGAGCAACCCTTGTAACCTCAAATCTGAAATTAAGAAGGTACGCATTCTACATGTAGGGATCTGTCCACTGGAGACGCCCTGAGGGTTCAGTTCTCTTCTCCTAACTCCTCCTTGAATTCTATGCACTGTTACAGGGAATTGCTTAAAATACCAAATGGTTCCGTCTTACCTTTGATTTCTTATCCTTACTTCTGTGACACAGCTCATTCCTTACTACTGAATGCTTTCCTAAGAATAAATGTCTGTAATTTAAAAATATGTAGGTATATTGTAGCCTGCCTTCGAGGAATCTGTCCCAGTATTTTGTGACAAGGCTCTGCAGTGAGCCCCAACTGTGCATAGCCTGCCTGAAATAGTCAGCTGACCATGCAAAGCCACATTTTAATTATCTGTGGGTACATAATGAACTTTTCCAGGCCCTTTCCATCTTCAACATTCTGCTGTCTTTGGGGACAGCAAAAATTTGTATTCACATATCCTGAAGCTAAATCATTACACCAAATGGGAAGAAAGTTGTTTACCTCTGGCAACACAAGTTGGATCCAGGAAACCCACTCTGCCTTCTGTCCTGTCCAGGAAGCCCCCAGGCGTAGGAAAGTCTGGCTACCTTGGTGGGGATAATTTTGTCCCCGTTCCCACTTTCCTCTCTTCCTTCTCTTCCCCTTCTTCTTAAGTGTCCTCATATGCTTAAACCTTGGTATTGTGCTGCTCATGAACTCTTCCTCTGAGGTTTTTTTTTTCATTAGTGAGTCTACTTTTAGTCACAAACTTACTGCCAGGCTCTTTGAGACACACACACACACACATACACACACACACACACGAGGCACCTGCAGGTAGGTAAACAAAGCATGAACCCATCCTTCAGAGAAAGAGAGCAAGTTGTCCTTCACATGTTATGTTGACAAACAGCAGAGCCAGTGAGGTGAAGCAGAGATACAGGGGGTCTCACACTTATCAACAGTAACCTAAATACTAAGAAATACAGTTTTAAGTCCCAGAAGTTCATCTCCTACAAAATGATTGCATGATGCAATCTTGGTTTTTATATTCTTATTAAAGTAATATTGAGAATAAGCCAATTTGCATACAAATTAATTTTTAGCAGAAATTCTGGTTTTATGGAATGGAAGCTTCTCCCTCAAAAAGCTATTCAGAGGTGCACTCGATTCCCAGATAGAGGGATGTTCGCCTTCTAGCCAGTGATTTTCTGCTTGTGCCTGACCTGGAGGCAAGTCCCCCTGTGTTTCTTTCTTCCCTGACAGCAAAGATATCTTCTTTTGTTAAAAATCACCCCTCCTGCCGTCCTTGACTCCCTCTCTGTGTCTGAGAGCATCCCTGGTCAGTATCCTTGTCTGGGCATAAAGGTGGATTGTTGGGGTAGAGGAGGAGTTTGGGGGGGCTCCAATGAGAGCGCTACTAAGCCAGGTGAGCCACACCCTCAACAACCCAACAAGGAGCCAGATTAAGAGAAAAAGGAGATAAAGGAGACTTAGTCAATATGGCCACATCAGGAAGAGGGACAAAGAGGTTCAATGACCCTCTCAGAGCCTAAGTGGTCTTCAGGATTCTAAGGGGAAAACAAGAGGTGAGCATCAGAACCTGGCTCTAATCTTTCTTTCAAGGTGGCCTGAGAAGTTGTCTCCAGGAGGCAAGTCCCCCTCTGGCACTAAATTTCAGCCTTCCCTTCTCCCAGCACAAGATTCCTGGGGAGCCTCTCAGTTTCTTGTTTCCAAGTCTGATAGACTAAGGTAGAGCCTCATCCTTGCCGAGCTGGTTTTTAGGGCCCCAGGGACAAAGAGCTGTCTTTGATATCTGCAGGATGAAAAGGTAGGTCACTCTACATAGTGTCATGCCAGTGACTCTTTTCTGATAAACTAGTGTGAATGGGGCCCCTCAGCAGCTAGGATTAGCTGTTGTGAACAGACCTGAGGTCCTAGTCTTCCTCCTGGTCACATAGCGAGCTCTTTCTCTGTAGCTCACCTAAGCTGCTCTTTGCTCCAGGCTGCTCCATGTTGACTGGAATAATTCAGGGGCACCAAAGCCAAGCAAGCAATAGCATAGCAGCTATGGAACTGGGAAATTTAACAATGGAAAAGGGAGATGTAAATTCATGGCAAATCTTTTCTTTTGAAAGCATACTCACTAAAATACTATAGAAACTAATCAAGCACCATTCAGTTTCTCTCCACATTTCTGAGGAGACACAGTTGACTGGTGAAGAAGAAGGATTGATCACACAAGTTTGGGTTGGGCTCTTTTGAGGTGTAGACACGCACAGCATCGCCAGGGACTCCTGTGTCCAAAGACTGGGAGCCATGCGCAAGCTGTCCCTAAAGTATCACTAAGAATACAACCACAGCATGCCAACAGTATTAAATCCAGGAGTTAATGATACTAAAGGGAAAAGATGACATGTTGGTTGCCCTGGGGGCATGCAAAGTAACCCACTCATTGTTTTAAAATTTGCTTTTGAAGGATACCAATCATTTTCCTTTCTGTTTTATATTCTGTCTCAGGGTAAACAAATTGCTGATGATGGGACATTTTATATTATAGATTAACTAAAGCTGGCATTGTAGGTTTATAGTCCTGGGGCAAGAAGGGATGGAGATGCCACAGGGCTGGGCACATGGCAGTGCATGCCATCTGATGCAGGACACAGGCATTGCTGCCAAAAGCTTGCAGCTGCATCTGAACAAGCCTCTAATGTGCAGTCAGCAAACCATAACCCTCAAGCCAATCTGGCCTGCTGCCTACATTTATAAATAAAGCTTTATTTACATAACCAGATGCATCCATTTCCATCTGACCTGTGGCTACTTTATCATTATAGGCGAAGCTGAACAGCAGAGTCAGAAACCCTACATCCTCTAGGCTGGAAATATTTACTGCCCACTCCATAGGACAGTTTGCCAGTCCCTGCTCTGGATCATGGCGCAAATACAGGACAAGGACACATAATAAACAGCATAGTTTACCAGGGCCTGAGGTCTTATAACCTACCACTGTTATCAAAGTAAACCAGGAGAGAGAGTGATGGAGGAGACAGTTTATAAAAATCCAGGGAAAGAATTGGATAGAGACTGCAGCCCATCTTTCTTTCTTTCTTTCTTTTTCTTTCTTTCTTTCTTTCTTTCTTTCTTTCTTTCTTTCTTTCTTTCTTCCTTCCTTCCTTCCTTTCTTTCTCTCTCTCTTTCTTCCTTTATCTCTCCTTCTCTTCCTTCTTTCCCCTCCCTCCCTCCCCCTCCCTCTCCCCCTCATTCTTCTCTCACACATTATGTCCTGACTTACTGCAGTTTTTCCTTCTTCCACTTCTCTCGGTGCCCCCTTCCCTCTTCCCCAGATCTGCCCCTCTTGTGTTTCCCTTAAGAAAAAGAGCAGGCCTCCCAAGGATGTCAAATGAATATGGTACAGCAAGTTACAGTGAAGTTGGGCACAAATCCCAATATCAAGGGCCGTGTTCTTGCTGTGTTCTCAACCCCTCTGCCCCCCTGGGAAGTGGAAGTAGAATAGATTTCCCATTCTTCAAGGAGATGGGGCTCAGGATATTATGGAGCAGTGCTTTGCTCTCCCATGGATGTTCCTTTAAGGGCTGAGGCTTGTTTTAACTTTTCTTAGAAAAGTATAGGTATGTGTCTTCACGGCTGACCATTTGGTATTGAATAACCAATCAGTGTATTCTTTCTTGGGGAAGACTATTTTTCCTGTTCCCAGCATTCCTTCATTGCCTGCTATTCTTTGCCTAGTGTTGAGGTCTCGTGAGCTTTCCCCCTTTTGCGTTAGCATGTCTATTGATGTCATACCTGTTCAGTTCATGTTTAGTCAGCCATGATAGTTAGACTTCATGACATTTGTATGGGGTTGGTAATGTGTATGTGTGTGTGTGTGTGTGTGTGTGTGTGTGTATGTATGTAAAGACCAGAGGTTAACCTTGGATCCCATTCTTCACTATGGTTTTGTTCTTTTTTTTTTTAACAAACTGACTAGCAAGCATCTGATAGTCTCTCCGTCTCTAGCACTATAATTACAAGCATGTACAGCCACTTGTGCCTTTTTATGTAGGTGCTAAGGATCAAATTCATGCTTGCATATCACGTATGGTCTAAGCCATATTCCCAACCCCTTTAAAGTGTTTATTTGTTGTTTATGTTCAAGAGTAATTTACTTTGTTTCTGATGTTTGTGCCAGACTCTTTCTAGACAAGGCCTGACCATTGACATTTGAAAGCAGGGGGAGCCCTGACTAAGCTGCCACTCAGAAATGGACAAGCTTATGTCCTATGGAGAGTTGGGTTGACAGGGTTGATTCTCTGTGACAAGAGTTGACTGTTTGTGATTATGCAAAGGCATGGTACCATGTGATTCTTACTTGCCACCATGGCTTTTCAAGACCCTTGCGTTGCAAGCTTTAAGCATTGTCTGGACCAGGGGTTAAAGCAAACTAAAGAACGAAGGCCCACTTGGGAACTGGTTAGCTTTGTAAGCACTCAGCCTTGTGGAGGAGTTCTCATAGTTTGCTGTTCATTTGACTCACTCAGGTCACATACCTGCTACTCCTGGAGTTGTTTTTCTGAGGGTTGGAACTACGTACTCAGTTTTGAGAGGCTCCCACATGTCTCCAGCATGGGAATCAGGGACAGAAATTAGTAGCCTGGTAGGGACAGTGCTTCTTATATTTTACTGTGCTTGCTGATCACAGGGGATACTGTTAGCCTAGCTCTAAGTCTGTGGACCTGGCAAGAGCAGAGCTTATGCTGTTCCTACTAGTTCCCAGCAGTGTCCACTGCTGCTGACTCAAGAAGCATATAGAGAGCTGTGCCTGCCCACTGTGAACACTCCCAACAGTCATAAGACTGCCTGGCTGGTCAATCACATTCTCTACACACATGACACTCAGAACTCACAATGTTGCCCTATTCTCCCATTCTAGAAGCTGCCATTCTGCAAAGCATTTGGTATAGGGAGGCCGAGGAAAAATCAGTGACACTTTCCCACTGTGGAGGACTAGCTGATGTAGAACTTCTTCCCATCAGTTGGCCTTTTGACATTGCCTCAGCTCTCAACTTGAGCACATATCTGCAGATATAGTTTGTGTTGCTTAATGGTGGAGGTTTCCAGCTCTTTTCCAGACAGGCAGATTGCTCAGCTCCCAGGACTTTGCAACTGTGATAAGCACACTTTGTGTTTACCTGGCTCTGCCAAAGGTCCAGAGGCACACTAAGTCAATAGAGCGACAGTGACCAGCTCTGACCGATAAGAAAGGGTCCATTGTCAAGGTCCACCTTCCTGAAGGGGAGGCCACCCTGCCTCCTTGCCTTGACACCATCATCATTGTCTAAAGTAGGTTCTGGGGAGGACTAGTTCCTGTGTCTAATTAATACCACACAGAACATTTCCATCCTTTCCATGATGACATTCTTTTAGGGACATGACTCTTAGAGGAAATGTAAACACTACACAGCTGGGTGTTTTGGTAGAAGGAGCTTGGAGTGTTGCAGAGCTGATGGACTGTTGGCTTGTGGAAGAAAACGAGTGAGTATAGAATTGATCAGTTCTGATAACAAAGTGCTTATGGAAAGCTAATAAGAAACTAAAAGAAGCTGTAGATTAGAGAACATGGGACATTAGGTAATGTGTTATGACTTCTAACAGTGATATTCAGTCTTGGAGGACAAGGAAATTAGACAAGAGCAGTGGTGAGTGCAGAGTGATGGCCAGGCACGGCTGTATATTTTCTCACTTCTGGCATCTAGTTTCATTCACGCTTCACTTCACGTCTTCCGGAGTTCTCTCCATCAGCTAGGTTCAGTGTCCTTTTGTGACACTGGTCTGTAGCAGAGGACCAGACTTTCTGGTTTGGGAAAGAAGATGAAGTCTGGGGAATTGAATAATGGCATTTGTAGTCTTTCCTTGCTTGTGTCCCTGAAATTTCTACCTTAAGTACTTGTTCTTAACTGACTAAGTGATAAAATGGTTTGGTACCTGCCCCAAATCAGGGGCGTCTTAGAGCAGGGGTGGTGACAGCCATAACCCGTTCTCTCAAATGCGTTCCCTGACTTGTTAGTTCCTAAAGTGTACGTAGTCATTTGCACTTTAGAACAAGGGTGCTCACTGGTGCAGAGGAAGGGCCTTATGTGTCATGCAAAGAGGGAAAGCATGCTAAAGGCAGTCTACATACAAGCTGAGTGCTCACAACACCACCGTGGAACCACTAACCACCCATAGCTTTCTCTAGCAACAGGGGCTGCAATTTGAAAGACATTATGTTTCCGTGTCTCCACCCATGGGTAACAGTGACTGCCATCCACAATTAGAACCAGTTTCAGCTCCCATACCCTCATCAGGACCACTAGAAACACCATCCTTTCTGCTCACTTGAGCTTTCATTGTGAAAAGTCCTGAGCTCTGTCCATTTTCGCAGTCTCCTTCTGTAAATGGACTCTCCAACTTCGTCATCCACACGATGAAGATAATGTTTACCTTACAAGGTAATGGTAAGAGCCAAATAGAATGACAGAGTTTGCCAGAATGCCTTAAGCACTCAATCAGTGACAATGAGTTCTGCTGTGGTTACTAATAATAGCCCATCTCCTTTTGTGTCTATTCCTCCTCCAGTGTTACCTAGGTGAAGCTCTCCACCATTCTTTCCTATGCTGGCCAATCTCCCATTTTCCATGATGCCATGTACTGTACTTCCTATTGTTGCGATGCGTTATCTATACACGCTCCTCTAGATCTACTGATTCCCTGTTGTTGCACAAGCATTATTTATATTCACTCCTCTAGATCTACTGAATTGCCCATTGTTGCGCAAGTGTATTATCTATATACATTCCAATATCTACTCCTGGTCAAATTGTAAGTCTCATGGTCATTTCTGAATTCTCTAGCCCAGGGGAAACTTAAGAGTTTTTTTTTTTTGTAACTTGCTTGAACAACTAGTTCTCAAGTGTGAAGTCTGTGGATGTGTGGATGATAGCCTCATGCCACAGTGTCAAAAGGATGGACACTGTAGCACAGAGTAAATGGGGTGAGACACTGTAGCACAGTAAATGGGGTGGGACACTGTAGCACACAGTAAATGGGTTGGATGAGGAGGTTAGTTTTCTAAAAGAATATTTACACCTAGAATATAAACTACAAAAAGAATCTCTAGAAAGTTCTGGAATAAAAATCAATATATCTAGGTTCAAACACAAGACTAATGAATTTTGACCCATCCTTTGTTCCTATGCCTTTTCCCACCTCTAGGGATCTGAAGCTCTCAGGCTAAAGGAGTGTGCCGATATGACACAAGACTTGAAGTGTTAAACAACCTGCCCTTCAAGGCTGAAGACCAATGAAAGAGTCACCTTACCCTGGCCATCTCAAAATAGCAGTCTTAAAGTCCCCACTCACAATTATACTCTTACTGGAGGATTCAAGCCTTTTAGTGGCGGTGCAATCTTTTTTTTTTCTGAGACAGGGTTTCTCTGTGGCTTTGGAGGCTGTCCTGGAACTCGCTTGGTAGTCCAGGCTGGTCTCAAACTCACAGAGATCTGCCTGCCTCTGCCTCCCGAGTGCTGGGATTAAAGGCGTGCGCCACCAACGCCCGGCGTGGCGGTGCAATCTTTAGGACCACACAGTAGACTGAATAGCTAAGTAGGATAGCCCACCCCCTTGCTGAAATATTCCCATGCAAAGTCATTCTAACACAGGAAGCCATTTTCAGGGCCCTAGGGACTATTTGGAAGCTTAGCCACAGTGACTACTGTTAGCCAGACTGTAAGAAAGGCACAGTGCTTAAGGCATTGGGTCCTTCTGCACTGTAATACATCAACATCTGACAGTCTTGTCACGCTACCCCAGAGCTGTCAGTTATCACTGAGGAACAGTGCATTTTCAAGAATGAAAAGGGACAGAATCATATTGTCTTCTAATACAGTATGTGTGTGGAGACTGAGAAATATCTGCAATGTGTATTCATAGTATTTGATGTGCAATGATGGAATAGTTCTGACTTGCTAACTTATAATATATCAAGATAATAATACAGAATGTGTTTGCCCATGTGACCTCAACCACAGCAGCACGCAGAACCTTCCTAACTGCTCCTTGGGCTCCACCCTAGACACACCACATCCCTGCTGCAGGGTCATCAGACTCCTGACATCCAGCACATTCATTGGTTCTCCTGGGTTGTGAAAATACACAAAGGCGAAGTGTTCTGCTGCGTCTCCTGTGTCAGGCTTGATGTGTTCACCATACATCCACATTCTGAGCATAAGTCATTTGTTTCATTGCTTTGTAGATTCCACAGTGTGAGCAAATCATGATGTATCTTTCTTTCTATGTGGACCTTCCAGTTTTTAGTTATTATAAACAGTATTTATGGACATTCTTGTAATACTATTTTGATAGAAGGAAAAGGGGAAGGGAGGACAGAGAAGATAGGGCATATGTGGAACAGGAGGGCAAGGACACACACTCCCACCACACACACACATTCACATACACACACACCACACACACACTCACACACATGCCACACACACATCACACACACATTCACACACACTCATACCATTCACACACACACCACACACTTACACCACACAAACACACTCACATCATACACACTCACACCACACAAACACACTAATACCACACACATCACACATACTCACATCATACACACACTCACACACACACTCATACCACATACACACACACCACACATTCACACACACATACCACACACACTCATACCACACACAACACACACAGACACACACATGGACATGAACAGATACACACACACTCACACTCAGAGGACAGGGTACATGTAGAAAGAAGACACGGACACACACACACACACTCACACCACACTCACACCTACATTCACACACACACACACACACACACAGATATATGCCCACACACCCAGACAGATACACACACAGACACACACACAGATGGACACATACATACTCATATACACACAGACACACATATACACACTTACACATACATATTCACACACACACACACACACACACACACACACACACACACGAGGCTTCTGGGTTACCTGGTGGCACATGTTGTTTAGTTGTGGTTTGGCTGCCAGTTTCCTCAAGTGATTGGAAATGGGCATGCTCAACTCATGAACAGAATTTGTAAATCCAAATTAACTACAGCCACCCAGTTCAAACAGTGATGTCTGCTTCTGCTTTATGAATATTTGACATTTTAAGAGTAAATTAACTCGGGCACTAAAACTTGGACGATCCAAGTGTTGGGTGGCATTAAAGGTAAAAGGAGTTGGAAAATATTTATAGCCTTAAATTCCATTAAGAAATCCCATTTAAAAATCCAGCTCACAGAAGACCATTAAACAGTTGGGACTTAATAAATTCTGCCATTGGGTGGATAGAGCGTTAGGAACCAGTGTGTGGAGAGCCAAATTAATAGTAATTAGAAAAATGTATTAAGAAACTTGCTTGCTGCGGTCCAACAAAAAGTCCTTATTCAGAATAGGTGGTGAAAAGGGGCTTCAATTTGGACTGAAAATATTGTTCCGTTGAACAACTGGGGTTTATTACTCCTATGCCTGATTAAAAATAACACCTTGATGTCCCAGGCCCAGCTGTTGTTTTTATGCCTTTCATCTTTTGCCTTTATGAAGCATGGTTTTCTCATGGGACTAAGGAATGGTCTGCCTCGCCTTCGCTGGAATTCTCTGCTTCCAGTCCATCAGTCTTCTGGAAGCCGGGTGTTTCTGTTTACAGGGGACCACAGAGCCCCAGCATTCCCACACGGACAGACTTCCCGAATGGGATGGGACCCCCCCCCACTCCCAGAAGCCACTTGCCTCTGATGTGCTCTCACACTTTTCCTCCTCAGTTATCTCAGGGGTCTCCAGAAACAATTGAGCCAAACTTTTTTACATCAGATTACCACTTACTACATCATTCACTGTCTGCAAACAGCTGGTCCCAAAGTGACCCCACAGGTAAGAAAGATTTTCTTCCTATGTCCTAAAACACCACGCCCACCATACAAAATGGAGGGCATTTGTGTTCTCTGAGATGGTGGATTGGGGTATGGTGACTGGGATCTAGAGGTTCCTAGAGACTATGCCCCAGCACAGGCAGCTCCCTCCCTTGCTCACTGACATTGTAAATAAACAGCAGGATCTCTGTGCATGAATTCTATTTCCTTTTTCTTTGTTGCCTGCTGAAATCAAATGTCTAAGAGCATCTAGGAAGATAAAAAAGCAGAAATGGAAGGCTTCAGTATTCAAAATGAAAACAACTTGAAACACACCTGAAGAATCCACATCAGGCATCTTGCCTGTCTCCAGCAGGGCCTTAGGTCAATGTAGACTGACTCGGGGGGAACCAACAACTGGTTTGTGCAGCTCCCAAGTGGGTTGAGGTGCTGTGAATCACTGTTCACCTTAACATACATACCTTTACCTTCCTTGATTGGTTTTACTCCTAATTCTTCATTTGTTGCTTTGTAATGGCCTCACCCAGGGCAACCAAGCAGGGAAGAGAAGCAAAGCCAAGACATTTTATTTTGAAATTTTATTTTATTTTTCAGTACATTTATTTGTGTGTGTGTGTGTGTGTGTGTGTGTGTGTGTGTGTGTGTGTGTGTGTGTGTGTAGATCAGAGGACAACATCTGGGAGTCCAGAGAGGGATTAAATTCAGGTCATCAGACTTGCAAGGCAAGTACGTTTACCTGCTCAGCTACCTCTCTGGCCCTGGAATTTGTCTTTGAGTCTTTATGTGTAAGAAACTGACCCTATTTGCGGCATTGAAGTATCAATTGCCAGTAAGGTATAGTGATGAAGTTGTGAACCAAAGGCTGACTTTCTGTACCTCCTGTGTTTCAGGTCCCCCCAGCAGCCTTGAGTTGGAAGAGGGGCTCACGTACGAGCAGATGCAGGTAGTATTTCTGCAGCCCTGGGTGCTTTTCCGTGTGTCCCTTTGAATTCATATTAACTGGATTGTCTGTCAATTTCAGACTGTGATTGAAGAGGTCCTGGAAGAAAGTGGCTATTACAATTTTGCAACCAACAGGTGAGAGGCAGAGTTTCCTTTCAAAGGGGAAGGATGACGTGAGATAGTTGGACGTTAGCTCTGCTTTCTCCATCCTTGATTCCGGAAAGCTTTACAACTTGATTTAAAACACTTTGAGTAGATGTAGACACGAGGGAATGTGTGCTGCCCAGCTTCTGTGGAGGCCTCACTACTGTGTTCTACAAGGAAACAAAAGACAGACTACCTCGTACCCACTGGCTCATTAGACAAGGAGCACGAGTTGATGGTTTCTTGAGTTAAATTTGCTGGGACCATTCTAGAAGAGCTGGAAGCTCAGATATCCATTGTTCTCACAGCCAAGGAAACCATACTTTAAATGATTTTAAAATAAACAAACTATTTGATAACTTTAAATCTAGTTTAGACATCCTGCAGCTTTACTGTTAGACAGAGCGATGGCAGAATAAATTGAATGTGCTTAGTTTATTTGATAGGTGTTTCTGGAAAACACTGACAAAGACGATGAGGTTAGAAAGATTTCATTGTCAAACAAGTTTCCATATTGGGTGTCTGAAGCTTGGGCCACCGCACCACACTCTGAGAAGCCTTGAGTTCCCTGACTCTAAGGGAGGGAGCTGGATTAGTCATCTTCCAGCTTTACTGGTAATTGCTGGTTGCCTTCCTCAGAAGCGCCCATTTCTGCTGGTTCCAGCCTTTCCTAATAATGGACAAAGAACTGAGTAATCACCAGAGAAGTTCAATGGAAAAGAAGTCAGGTGCTGGCATTTGAGGACTGGCCAGCACTGTGGAAGTACTATGTGTGGTAGGCTATGGTAGCAGCAGCTGACAGAGGAGTCCCTCTGTGTTCCCAACCACCCACATCCAGCACATACCCCAGGTGCTCAGGACTCCCCCAAGCAGGCTCCTCCTGGAGAAAGAACATTTGCTTCTGCAGCCAGGAAAGCTACTTTGTGATGACTTTCTAAGTTATTCTGGAAATGTCCCTTAAGAACAGCAAGTAGCCTGGAAAGCAAGGACTCCAGACTGGCTCAGTAAGGTCATTACAGAGAAATTACATTCTCCTCTGAGCTCAGCTTGTCTCCTGCTTTTTCTCTTCTGCTCTCCTTTCAGGGAGCCTTTCTTATGAATCACACATGAGATTATTCAACCACTTGCTCCTTTGGCTTGATAACATATTTTTAAAATATAACCCTTGCAAATTCAGCTTCTTATGATTTGAGACTGCAGAGCCAAGATGAGTAATCCCCGTGTTGCAAGAATGCATCGCTGATAGAAATCACCGTCCTTACAGGTGCTCTGCTCCCATTGTCCCTGGGAGATGTTTGCATTTTCACTTGCTCGAGTGCTAAGCGTACAAGCTTCTGCTGGTGGTGTGCACGTCTCTGCTCTTGACTTTCAGCACCTTACTATTTCAAGTGTCCTTGGCTTGAAGTAGTGGGGCAGAGGCTGCCATTGTATGACGATTGTCATTTTGTGTGTATTTCCTCAGACGGTCAGGAGCAAGGGAAGTGAACAGCTTCATATTCTTGCAGAGAATCAAAGTGTTTATCAATGAAAAATTTGGTGCATGAGTTTATAGAGGCTTATGATTGGCATTATTGGTTTATTTAATTGTACCTCTCCATTCTAGTTTGTGACTCAATGTCAACCCTGGTAGACACATACCAGATTAATGATTCAGTGATTGGTCAGTAGATCTGTGTGTAAGTAAGGAAGACTCTTATGTTTTAGGTTTGGGACTGAGGAGACAACTCAGTGAGAGAGGGCTTGCCCTGCCAGTATGAGAACCCCCAAAACTCAATTTAAAAAATAAATAAAACAGGCATGGAGGCTGGAGAGATGGCTCAGTGATTAAGAACATTGGCTGTTCTTCCAGAGAACTTGGGGTTCAATTCCCAGAAACCACATCGTGACTCACAACGATCTGTAAGTCTAGTTCCAGGGGATCTGACACCCTCTTCTGGTATCCAAGAATACCAGGCAAGCAAGCAGTGTACAGACATATATATACTCAGGAGGCATGACACCTGCACACATAAAATACTTGATTTTTTTAACAAAATTTAGGGATAAAGAAAGAAGAAAATGAGGTGTGGTGGTGTGTGCTTGTAATCCCAGTTCTGGCTTATCCGTTAGGCTCACTGGCCATGCAACCTAATCTAATCACTGAATTCCAGGCCAGGGAGACCCTCATTCAAAAATCAAAGGAGATGGTGTCTTGGGGACCATACTCAAGGTTAATCTCTGGCCACACACACACACACACACACACACACACGCACAAATGAGAGAAAGATTGTTGACATAATAATAAAGTTATTACATAATTCTCTACAAGTGGTGGTTAACCTGAGATCATTTAAATCTCTTGTGTTTTGAGTGTGCTTCTGTGTGTGTGAGAGAGAAAGGAGGGATGTTCATAAAAGGTCAAAGGACAGCTTTCCACAATCAGTTCTCTCCTTGGACCATGTAGAACTCAGATTGTCAGGCTTGTCAGCAAGTACCTTACCCTCCGAGCCAGCTCCCTATCCCCTATTATCATTCAGCAATGTTTTATAATGATAATAATAGTGAAGTGTAGCCAGAATCATTCATAGAAGTGAAAAGTCAATGTACACTGAATCTGCTTCCATTGCTTTGCATCTTCAGATGTGTGATACAAGTAGATGAACACAGATGTTCATGTGTGTCTTAGTTAGGGTTTCTATTTCTGTGAAGAGATGTATAACCATGGCAACTCTTATAAAGGAAAACATTTAATTGGGTGGCTTACAGTTTCATAGGTTCTGTCCATTATCATCGTGGTGGGGCATGGTGGCACTCAGACAGACATGGTGCTGGAGAAGGAGCTGAGAGTAGAGAAAAAGCTACATCTTAATCTGCAGGCAACAGGGCTGAACTAGGTGTAGCTTGAGCATAGGAGACCTCAAAGCCCACCCACACAGTGACACACTTCCTCCAACAAGGCCACACCTACTTCAACAAGCTGCACCTCCTAATAGTGCCACTCCCTGTGAGCTTATGGGTGCCAATTACATTCAAACTACAACAACGTGATACAGGTAAATGAACACAGACATTCGTGTGATAGAGGTAAATGAGTGTAGGCATTTATGTGATAGAGGTTAGTCAGTGTAGACATTCATGTGCTACAGGTAAATGAGTGTAGACATTCATATGATAGAGGTAAATGAACAAAGACTTTCATGTATTAGAGGTAATGACCATAGAGGCTTATGTGGCACAAACTACTTTGAATGGTGTTGATTTTCTACTGTGAAGAGTCACTGGTTCTCATTGTGCTCTTAACCTAAGAAAAACCGTGTTATTGCCAAATTTCAGCAAAACGTCAGAGCTCTCTGAAACTTCTCACTTCATTAATTAGTTTTTATTCGTTGTGGTATATGTATTATATCTATTGGCTTAAGCAAATAGAAATGTTTGTGACTCTATGGCACTCTTTCCACTTCTAGATCTTCTAGATGTCACTCTTATCCATGGGGGACCAGGAATTACCCAACCAAAAGATAAGAGCATTGCGTTGGAGCAGGTGGAGTTTCCCAGCAAGTTCAAGCTCTAGGCTTCAGCCAAGACTGCAGGATGCCCAGGACTGGCTAGAATGACACAGGCGAGACAAAGACTCGCAGAGCTACAGGAGTGCTCTCACACTGCTGCAGGGGTGTGTGGCAACCCGCAGTGCTGAGTCTCTGTCCTCTGAGGGCATTGCACTCTCAATGATGAGCTAGCAGTGTGCTTTGGGGAGAAAACACTGCAAAATGGCTCCCGGGGCAGCAGATGGGAGTAGCACAGGACTTTTCTCAAGGTCAATCATAAAATCAACTTATATTTTTCAAAGGAACATTTTATATTCATGATTGATGGCTATGCTTAAAAGTAATCTTGCCTTCCATTTATACAAAATAGTCTTAGATAAAACTATTACATGACCTAGTGCAAAATGCTACGTTTTCCATTGTGTTTTTAATCTTAAGAGAAATTCAAAATATGATAGTTTGTAAATGAAATGTTTCTCTCTGATCCATTTGGGTGCTAGAGGTTCTGAGACATGACACAGTGCAGACAGTATTTGTAACCTTGCACACATCTGGAGTAGCTGTCATTGTAACTTTGCACACATCTGGGAGTAGCTGTCATATAACCTTGCACACATCTGGGAGCAGCTGTCAGATACTCTGATTGCAGCTAGACTGGTAGAATCTACTGGTGTAGAACGTGTGTGTGTGTGTGTGTGTGTGTGTGTGTGTGTGTGTGTGTGCACATAGGTCCAGGGAAGGAGGGAGGTCTGATTGGGTGGCATTTTGCTGTTAATGAAGCTTGCAATATTTCTAGACCACTTTGAAGAAGTCATAAACTATGAAAGCAGTGACAGCCCTTACTCTAGATCTTACCAAATTACCTATGTGTAAGATAAATACTTATTGTTTGGGAATCCTCCCAAATTATAAAATGAAATATAAGTTCCTTCTTTTCCCATTGAGATGGCCTAAAAGAAAAAGTCATAATGCCAAATAGCATCCCACTTCTATTGAGAGAGGATTTGCTAGGCCACTGAGTTTAAATTCCTCCTTTTCAAGTGGCCTCCAATAACTCTAGTATAGCCCCAACCCATATTGTACATGTCCCCACTTCAGAAGCAATTCATTGCATGCAATTAGCACACTGGAAGATGAAATTACACATTTAACTTCCCATTGATTTCTGTTGTATTTAATTACATTGATATATTTTAGCATAATTGAATAGTACAATATATATTGGCAGTCATTGAGACACAATATAACCTTCCTGAATAGTATGCAAATCACTTAATGTGAATTCATCCTATTTTTTAGAATTAGAATGTTTAACATTTAAATTATATCCCAATTCTCTTTGATCATAAACTAACTAGTGCCTTTCGTGGTTACTAATGAATATTTTCTTTAAGCCAAGATAACAGTTAAAATACATCAATTTAAATATTAAATAGAGTGATGAAAAAAATTTCAATTTTACTTCTCAAAACAATCCCATCCATATATGAATTTCACATACAGAATCCAAACACCATTATTGACTAGCTGAAGCAAAGTTTTATTTCTCTGCTCAGTCATTTTGTAGATCACCTGATTTGTGGTGGGAGACCTAGGCCTAGAGGGACGTGGACTTGAGTCACGAGGAAGTCCTTCATAGAATGCAGTAAGCTGGGGGTGAATACTCAAATAATCAAATTCTTTCTCAAATGGTAATATATAGACAGAATGGCATTCATTGCCTTGGTAAAGAAAAAAATATTAATTGAAGTATTTTTTTAAATGAGTACAGTCTACAGATAGAAAAGTAAAAGATACATAGTTTCTCCATATCTCCTATAGGCCATAGGAATGGCATCTATCACAGAACAAGCTAGTACAATTAGCAAAGAGAAGCCAACACATACCCCTGTAAAAGGGCTCATACCAACCATGCAATGGCTGGTTGGTGGTGCTGAGGTGCAGGCTGTGTATGCTACCCTTGAGTTCTCCCAAGTTTCTGCAGTCACTGACCCTCATCCTCCGTGTGTAAGGAAGCCTTGGAATGCGGCCTCTCCCCAGCAGTGAAGTTAGCCTTTCCAAAGCGCTCTCTGTGATTTCAGGCAAGAATGAAAACAGCCTTTTTGTCTTGATCAGCTGAATTGTCTTTTGTGCAAAGAAGTGGCTACTTGAGATTAACACGCCTCATAATCTGTTCTCGATTGCATTTACATTTTCCCTTTTTGTCTTGTATAATTTTTAATGATTTGTTGTAGAATGAAATCCTGTCAATTGTTGAATCCATCGCATTCCCAGTGACCGAATATTGTATGGGGTAGAATTTGAATTAATCTCTTCACATAACTTTTGGTGCACAAATGCTTTCAGCTAATTATGTTTGGATCCAGCAGCTCTTAGTGTGCATTTGTACTTGAAACTTCCATTCACTCTTTCAAAGCAAAATGTCCCATTCTCAGGAAACTGGCGGTAGCAAGTATTTGTCTTTAGTCTTGTGGCAGATATGCAGTGCCTTTGGGAGGAGCACCTCAAGAATAAAGAGGGACAGACAGACAGACACAGCTGAGGGAAGAATTTCAGACACACACTCATACATGTACACTGGAGGATGTTGTTATGCAGTTTATACAAGTTAAGGTCTTCCTGCATAAGTGCCACCTGGAACTCACTGGATGCAATGACTTTTAACACTCAAATAGGGAACTGGAGGACTGCTATGTCCAATTCCATCGATAGCACCACTTATTTTAAACTTAATGTTAAGATTTGTAAAGGCAATCATATTGACTAGTCAATTCTATCAGTATTAATATGCATAGAACATATACATTCCCCCCCTCTTTATTTTCTCTTCTTCTCTGGAATTGCATAAAGTGAACATGTTGGGTTCCTTTAGAAATACCCACATCTTCTATCCATCTGAAGATAGAAAAAAATTGTTTCAAAGGAACTTTGACTATTCACCTCTTGCTTTTTGAAAATGTTGGTTTTCATGAGTACCCAAATCAGCTGCTAGGTAGTGCAAGGCCACTTGGGTGGGACAGCTTCACAGCACCCAGAGTGTGCAGCAGAGAGAAGAAGCTGGAGGATACCACACTCTGACCTTAATCCTATGTGGCATTCTGTCTGAACATCAGATCTCTATGTTACAGACATGGATGTGATGCGTATGCATTTGTTGTAAAACCTTCTGGATTGTGTTAATGCTCTTTTGGTGTAAAGTGACAGCTTTGGATAAATTGTTTTTAAAATTAAAATGTTCAGCTAGCACATGCCATGGTCTGGAAATACGAGTTGCAAGTCACCTATGTCTCAAGGAAGCAACTTCATGGTGAAGAGAGTCTTGTGAATGTGCATGTTGTAATGTAACATGCAAGTTGCATGTTTACATGACTATTTACATTCTGCTGATGTTGCTTTTGAGATTTCTAAGAGAGACAGGAAAGATTCTGTGGTTTTTGGTGAGGTGACAGATGGACACTGACAGTGCAAGCATCCTTTGGGTCTTTGGGCAACAGTCATTTGCAAAAGTGAGGACGGCACACCCTAAAGTCCCAGTGGCCTCTTCACATGGGGACACACTAGCCTTGACACCTGTGCAGCATTTGGCTGATTAAATTGAGATGATTAAGTTCACCTTATATTGTAAAAGCTAGTTGAAAGTGGGATATTATTTTTCTGAAAGCAAGATGTTCCCTTTCCTCTCATTATGTCCCATGAAGCCAGCTCTGCTCTGTGTCTGGCTACCATGGTCAGGAGTAAGAAAAGCACGCACGATCAGTGTGGCTGCTACATGAGCTCTTGAAGGTAGCTTATCTGCTCCTAAACAAGACGTTTTATGGTTATGGAAAGTCATGCCTTGCTGCCCCTTTGATGATCAGTAGGCAAGATGGCTGCTTGGAATTGATATGGTAAGATCGCTAGTGAATACTGCTAAGTGTTGGGAAAATGTCAAGAAGGAACTGTCCCACTAAACAGAGAAGTTTATACCAGAACTAATAATCCAAAGAAGGCAATGCCTATGGGCTTGGCACTGTGTAAACATTCAGTGAAGGCCCCTTACAGACTATCTTATCCCACCATTTAGCTCTACACTCCAAGCGCCATTGGAGCCAAGGTTCTAAGAAAAATATACGAGACATGTGAGTTTTAGCTAAGTACCTGACATTTCCCGTCATGCTTACCTCACACTTTAGTGGATTTGAGCAGAAATAGGACTGCTAGGGTAGCCTCATGTTGTGACAGGACACAGTGTTTGTGGTGACCCTGAAGTCCTGCCTTGTAAAGATGACAGATCTTCCAAGGAAGTTATTCAATTCCCAAACACAATCTTGCTTCCAGTAACTGGAGGGCCAACATTCCCAGGGCAGAGCATCACCCAGAAGTGCCTCATTGAGGAGCAGCTGACAGAAGGAAGCCTCTAGGTAGAGCCAGACGCCCTAGTGATCCCTGCTGCTGTGTCTCCTGGGCTAGCAGCTGCGCATGGCCACAGCAAGCTGGCCTCCCAGACATCAGCATGGAATGTTGGTGGCTCTTCAGGGCTGGTCCCTGAGAGGCATAGAGGCTCTGTGCTCCATGTAGGGCTGCTGCTGCTTTTTAGTACCTAGGACTGAGCTCAGAGTCTTGCACATACTAAACAAGCCCTTTGTTGCTGAGCAAGAAACAAGCCCCAAAGCAGCAGTTCGATCTGCCTGTAAGTGAACATGGCGGCGCCTCTGGGGCCTACTTTTCTTCCCCTTCTTCCAACACAGGCTCATTTTATGTGACAATAAAAATGTTACCAAACAATTTGTGAAGAATTTGAATGGTTAGATGCAGAGACATGTGAACACGGTTGCTCAGTCAGATCGGGAAAGGGACACTGTGGGCATTTTCATGATTTGCCAGTGGCTGTTTGATGACTAGCCGCCTAAAGATCCCGCCATTTTATCCCTCCAAATTGGGAAACAGGAAAAAAGTCTTTGCAGTATTTTGCTTGCTGACATTTAGTGGAGAAAATCTGAATTGCAAGGCCTCCTGCATTCTGTTGTGCCCCGTGAAGATGAAAAGGAGTGGTGCTGTCCTCCAAGAGCAAGTGGAGGCTCCTGCAGTGCAGAGCTGTTTCCCGATGGCCCTGTGTCCAAGACTAAGGTCCGTGCCTGTACCAGGCTCCCAGGCTCCCTGTGTGCCTTCTTCTCAGTCTCTGCGATAGGCTTTTGTTCTCCCTAGCACCTCCCATTCAGGTCACCCAGCCTTGCCCACCCTCATGCCCTCATTGCAAGGAACAGACTGTGACCCTCCTGAAGGGGGTCTGCATTTCAGGGGGATACTGGTGGTTTCACTGTTGTAGAAGGTAGTGAGTGTGCCTGCCAGCTGTCCCCCAAAGCTCCCCATGAACACTGCGAGTCTCTAATGCAATCACCCAGGCATAGACCGAAAAAAGGGAAAGAAATGCTTCTATAAAAGACTCACATGAAAGATGAAAACAAATGTTATTTTTTTTGCTATTGTGTAAATGTGCTCTGTTAAAGGCTAAAGAAATAAAAATGTATTTTCAAGTTATTGGAAAATAATTTTGCTTTTGTCAAGGGTAAGTGTCATTTCTTTTTACAAACTTCCTCCTCTCCTTTTGTGATTTTTAAGTCTCCCTCTCTCTTCCTCCCCCTCCCTGGCTCTTTTCTTTCTGAGACCATCTCCCCAGTTAGCTCCAGCTGGCCTGGATCTTGCAGTGTGTCCCTGGCTGACCTCAGACTACCAAACTCAGCCTTCCTGTTGATGGGATCACAGGTGTCTCTTACCATGACAACTCTGCCCAAGCTGCCAACGTGTGTTTGTAAACTCTGTCCTGGGCTATAACTGGTAGATTCTCGAAGTACTTTTCCATTGATGCAAATCTTGCACAAGTGCTGGCAGGTAAGCTATCCACCAGCCTGGACCCCAGAGAAGCAGGGTGAAGGAGCCCATGTTTCTCACATTCCTTCTCTGGTGTCTCCAGTAGTATCTATCCAGCAGACAGATGCGGTTTTATGACAGCAGCAAGAACTAAAGAGAATTCAGGACTTGTTTGCCAGGCTCCAGAGTATATCAGGCTTTCCCCATTCCCCCATGGGCCAAGCAGATCACATGATCAAAATCAGATGGGTGTGGAAGATGAATCAGATGCTGACTGCTCCATAACAATAGGAACTCTTTGAATCAACAGGCCCTGTACTGGTGAGAACACCAAGCACAGCTTAACTGACCTGTTAAATGTCTCAGACTAGAGTCAGGACCCCACCTGCCAACATGAAGACATTGTCACTTTCTGTACTGGGATGCTGCCGGGAGCTCCTGCCATGTGTCTCAGTCCATAGACAGTTCACACCAAGATGCCTGGCTTTCTCTGCAGTGGGCCTTACCAACAGACTAAGAACGTGGATTACACTACACCGTTGCCATGGTGAGCAGGGATGACGACCAAGGGGAGGAGTCTGAGGTAGTCTGCAGGGCCATCTAAGCAAGCCAGGACATTTGCCTGAGGTACTCCTACACCCTGCTCCAAACAAAGCAATTGGTCTAGCAGTTTGCCATGGTAACCAGGTGCATCTTTGAATCCATTCTGGATCTAGGTGCAGTGTGCCTATCCAGCCTGGACTGGTTGAGGTGCGTATGCAGTAAGATGTGTCTTCAAAGAAAACTTTTGGAGTGAATGCCCCACTTGCCATCTTATGCCTATGCATGATTGGAGAGGACGTGCTTAGTGAAAACAAAGAGGCACCTAACATTGTGGCCCTAACAACCGTTCCTTCTCCAGGACACACAAAAGGAAGCCATGAGAAGTACTCGCTAGTTCTCTCTCTGTCTCTCTCTGTCTCTGTCTCTGTCTCTGTCTCTGTCTCTGTCTCTGTTTCTGTCTCTGTCTCTGTCGCTCTCTCTCTCTCTCTCTCTCTCTCTCTCTCTCTCTCTCTCTCTCGGCAGGGTTTCTCAGTGTAGCCCTGGCTGTTCTGGAATTCACTCTGTAGACCAGGCTGGCATCAAACTCACGAGGTCTACCTGCCTCTGCCTCTTAAGTACTGGGAATAAAGGTGTGCACCACCACCGCCCGGCTTAACCACTAGCTCATGAGTAATCTCCCTTAGATCCCTCCACACACTGATAAGCATACCCACCCTGTACATTCACTTGTTTGCTGCTTAGGTATTTGTGTACGTTTCTTCAATTAAGACATACATGTGCACATGAGCACGCACACACAAATGCTGGAAACATCTGGTCCACATAACCACTAGTAGCACACTGTGCATGGGTACGGATTAATTAATGATGTTGCACTGAAGTGTTTCCATCTCAGAGTACACTACCAAAGACCACGGGCCAGACTTCCATTCCCAGAACAATATTAACACACATGAAGTCACTCAGAGTACACCACCAAAGACCACTGGCTAGGCTTCCTTCTCCAGAACAACATTAACACACATAGTCACCTAGAGCCCGGAATCCCCTAAACGGATTTGCACATGCTATGAAAAGTGTACATAGTTGGGAATTTAGCTCCCAGACTTGGGTTCAAATGCTTGCTCCCTGATTTTCTACATAGACTTCAGATTAAGGACTTAACTGTTGTCCTAAGCCTTGTGTGTTTACAATGGGAAACTTGCTCTGAGGAGAACTCATTATAGGTCCCCAAGAGACCCAAAACGGAGGCTGGAATGTGGAGAAGGGGTATGGTAAGAATGTGGAGACTGTCACTCCTGCCTCAGGACACTGGGCGTTCGCCCATCCACCACACCGTAGGTGAGTCCCAGTGGGTCTGACACTGGATGAACCCCCTTTCTTCCCTACCTCACCCCTTCACTGAAGTCCTGTATTAGACTGTGGAAACCCTACCCACGCAAGACTAGTTTATCATATATGTTGTTTTTGGGGGGTGGTGAAAATTACATTAAATGGACTGGGGTGGGAAGGGATGGGAGCATGAGGGATCAGGTAGGGGTGTGTAGGGGGAGAGTACCGAAAAGGATGACTAGGAAGGAGGGGCATTTCATGGTGAAGTAGAAACCTCGTGCTAGCGAAACTCCAGGGAATCTACAAGGATAACCCAGCTAATATTCCTAGCAATGGGGGAGACATAGCCTGAACTGGCATCTCCTATGACCAGGTAAGACTTCCAGTGGAGGGACTGGAAAACCAACTCAGCAGCATAACATTTGACCTACAGTCTGCCCTTCCTATGGGATGTGCTGGAGTAAGTGGCACAGAGATTGTTGAAGTGGCCAACCATCGATTGATTCAGCCTAAGACCCACCCCTGGTACTGCCAGAGGATGGATGGCCCAGAATCCTAGTATAGAACCAAACAGGAATGGCCAAAAAAAAAAGTCAATGTAGCGATTTCTAATGACATTCTGCTGTATTCATAGATTGTTGTCCAGCCCAATTGTTATCAGTCTTCACCCAGCAACTGAAGGAAACATGCAGAGGCCCACAGCTAAACACTAGGCAGAGCTTGAGGAATACTGAGGAAGGGGGGAGGAGCCAGAGGGGTCAAGTACATCACAAGAAAACCCACAGAATCAACTAAACTGGACTCATGTGCTCACAGAGACTGAACCGACAACTAGGGAGCCTGCATTGGACTGACCTAGGCCCTCAGCATATATGTTACAATTGTGTAGCTTGGTCTTCTTGTGGGACTCCTAACAGAGGGAGCAGGGGCTGTCTCTGACTCTTCTGCTGGCTTTTGGGACCTTGGTCCTCATACTGGATTACTTTGTCCAGTCTTGATACAAGGGGGGTGCTTAGTCTTAATGTAACTTTATATGCCATGTTTTGTTGATACCCATGGGAGGCCTGCCTGTTTCTGCATAGAAACAGAAGGAGTGGATGGTGGGACAGAGAGGAAGTCAGGAGAGGGACTAGGATGAAAGGAGGGAGGAAAGATAAAAATAAACAATAAATACATACCAGTAAAGAACATCTAATTAAGCAGCTCTGACTTATCTCCTAAACTCACTCCTGCTATAAATTATTTTTTTTCTTGCTCTCTGAAATGGGTTGTCTTCTCAGTTTAAATGGGAGTGGGGAGAATGATCAGTTCTGTTCATCAAGAGCGTTACAGGAAAATAGGAGAGCTACATTAAGATTAACACCAGGGAAGATAGTTTGATGAGGATGATGAAGTCCTTCCTAACATGGGCATCATCTATGAAACAGCATGCTCAAACAAAACAAAACACCCAGAGAAACACAAAATGAAGACACTGAGTGGGGTGGGTGTATAAGACCACGCCCCTGTGTGGGCAGATGCTTTGGGGGCTCTCTCCTTGGTTCACTAGCCCACTTCCAGTCTTGGGAGTTTCTCCTGGTTATTTGGCTATTTCTATTCCGTGCTCAAGAGACATGACTTGTCCATCTTTCATCCTGGAGGCTACTGGGATTTTCACATGACTTACAGTGTGCTATTTTGAGATGATATATTATTTATGATTTATTAAAATTTGCTTGAGGATTCAGAAAGTAAAGCCAGCCTCAAGCTATAGAGGTCAGGCAGTGGTGATACAGGCCTTTAATCCTAGCAGCCAGAAGCTAGGAGGTGGTGGTACACATCTTTAACCCTAGGACTCAGGATTAAGAGGTTCACGAATCTCTGTTAGTTCAAGGCCACCCAGATCCACACAAGATTGATCCAGTCCTAAAGAGAAAGAGCTCACACATAGATGATTCAGCACCTGGGATCACACGCCTTTCATCCCAGCACTAGGGAGGTGGAGACAGGAGGAGGAAATGGCTGGGCAGAGAAAGGAATATAAGGATGAGGAGACAGGAACTGAGCCTTTTACCTCTGAGGATTTGTGAAGACAAGATTGCCATTTCATCTGAGTAGAGGTGAGAGCTAGTGGCCAGCTGCTTTGCTTCTCTGATCTTCAGCTGGAAGCTTGAACCCCAATATCAGTTTCTGGGTCTTTTCATTTTTGTACTATACTTTTTTCTTCTATTCTAGTAAAAAATGCCCTTGAGCTTCCTCCTAAGTCTGCTTCTACATTGTTTTATTAATGACGTTAAGATCCCCAAAGGGAATGTCTGTTTCCCTGGTAAAAGGTTACCACTTCAATTTACACTGCTGTGACCCCCACATCTGCTGAGGTCAATTCATGGAAAACACCCATGACCCATGGCCATGGTTTAACGGCTGTAGGAAACAACTAAGGACCAGAGACAGCTCTCTGAGTCACTAGCTGTGGGCCACACAATTCAGTGTCCTGGCTTTTTAACCTTTATCAGTGTGCTAGACACACCATAGCAGAGAACTAAGGGTTCTGTGTCATGGGCCAGTACTGCAGGGACACTCAGACAGACACCTTTTGAGGCTTCACTCTGCAAGTTCAGAGACGTGCCCAGTGGCTCTTCAGTGTGGAAGAACCCAGAGGGCCAGACAGAGGTGCTTAGCTCTAGGAAGACCGTATCAGAGGTCCTGCCGGCCACAAAGATGGTCTGGGCTCGGCTTCTTTCCCGACTCTCCTTCAGTAATTTGCAGTTTCCTGTGGCTTGTCACAGTGCAGCTTTTTGGACTTCTGATCTAGA